CTAAAGGATGGGCACCGGCACCATCGGTGACTTCACCTCCCGTGTCTTTCCGACCTGCCACCCCGACACGGCAATCACCGATTCACCGTCTTCCACCCCCGTACATTCCTTGCCCAAAACCGATGAGACCCACGTCATCTCCATTAGCCGCTGCACCTCAGCCCTATAGATACCCGTCGCCAGTAAGTGATTTGACACGATGACAATACGAGTTCTAGACATTTCGTTATTCACTCGGAACGTTTGTCTGTAACGCAGTGTCCGTCACCACAAGTGTATGAACAATCCGCATCGACGCAGTACAGACCCCGAGAATTCGTGGTGCTTGAAGCTCCGTCACCCCAACATTGGTCGGACGAAGAAAGCACCACCGATGGACGTTCAACTGCAGACATAATAGCACAACAATCGCAGGACTACGTAGATGAAAAGCTGGCAGAGTATCAGGCCACGATTTACATGCTACAAGGTAATATATAACATTATGTTGTTATGTTTTCAGTATGAAAGATCTATTGTATACCATTATAATATATGTTATAGTAAATAATTCTGTGATAAAAACCGTTGAAAATTTGAAATAACTATATCATTATCGTACAATGATAAAAAATGTACCGTTAGGCTCGTACACAGTTAAGATCGTAATACAACGTTAATAATAATTATTATATAATTATATAACTTATGTTATCCTGATTCGACACTAATGTATTCGTAGGTTACCTACTACTCCTAGTATCTCATGATTGCGTTTATTTTGCGTTATTTGATTATATGAGAAACTACTGTACTGTGAAGGATACAAAAATTCTTAATTTGCAACACGTTTGAACATTGCCATAAAATTAAAATAATTCACTAATATTTACACATATATTTCAACTTTTTTTTATTATTATTATTAAAAATATATTACAATATGCAAACAACAATAAAAACAATGATGACTGACATAATATACGTGAAAACACACGAAAAGTATACCATCCAATAACAGGATCTCAGTATATATCAATTATAATTTACTTAATATAACATTTTAAATCTATCTTAATACTATATTGGGCGTTTAAATTGTATTTAATGCATTTAATTGTATACTTTTTATTATAATATAGTATTATATTAGAACAATAATAATATTTAGTTTACATAGGAAATAAAACACGTTTTTAGATTAATAATTAGATAAGTTAACTATTTTAGTAAATAATTATAATTTTTTTAGGCCGATAGAATAATATAGGAAAGATATTTTTTCATCCGTGAATAGGGAGTAAATACTTTCATATTATGAAAGTTATAATTAATCGAACTTATGAGTTGATAAATGAGTATATGCTTAATTTGTTTTTGTTTTTACAGTCCATTTAGGCCCTTTGAAGTCAATACAAGTTGCTTCAAATCTTCCCTATTATATGTATGACTAAGGACTCCATTCCACTCTAGTCTCAGATCCATTATGTCTTATGTCTCTTCTAACTACATTTAATCATCGTTGACTCGTACGGCTTCATGGTCTTTTCTAAATTATGTTGTTCACAAGTACTATTTTTCTTAATAAGATATAATTCTTAATATAATACGAGTATACTGTTTTCTGCCTTCCATACGTGGGATACCTATCCAAATCTTATTGTTATAAATATAAGGTTACTAAATGATAAATAATAAGTTTTACCATATACATAACATACATTTTAAAAATCATTTTATATATCCCAATATGGAAAATATTTTATAGTACCTCTTGGTAAGTCTTATTTTTCAACAATAAATTCCGAGTGGAACAAATTCTATTTTGATTTCACGGGAGACATGCATGTAATTTAAAAACATATATTATCATTATAGGATAATTATAACTAGAAAACTACGAGTTTGCATGTGCTTCATCTTAAAATTTATTTAAAAATAATAAAAATTGAAACTAATTCTTAAATATTTAAGTGCTGCTTACTAAAGTGGTTATGACGAATAAGAAATTTCGCGGTTTTCATCGTTAACGGTGTTCTTACATTAAAAATTGTGGTGTTCCGCATTAATGTATTCTCAATGCCAGGATATCCTTGAATGAGGATTGTTGAGAATAAAACCGCCCACCAGGGAACAGTTATTAATTACCTGATCTTTCAACATATTTTAACAAATATTTTCTTATTTCTACAAATTACGTTATGTCATCTAGTATTCAGGGATATAATCTGGTTATATATTTTCCGACGCTTACATAATTTAAACCTAATTAGTACATTTAAATTTATATTCGTTATCATTTGTTTTGTTAAAATTTTCAACCATAATATTGCACTATTTACCACATCTATCAAAGTGTTTGTATTTCCAAAATACCTTTTTCGAAAATGTTTATTCTTTAATGAGGTTATATTGTACATGTTTGATTTATGTTTCATACTAGAATTATAAGTTTGAAGGTAGGAGTTACAGAAAATAATTGGAATCTATAAAAAATTTTTACATTGATAATGTTTTACGACTATATACTAAAATTTATAATTTTTTTTTTTTTTTTTTTTAATTGCAAAACCCATGTTAAACTACAAACACAATTAAGAAGTTATATTAAATGTATTATAAAATTAAAATTAAATTTGTCGATAAATTCATTATATTAATATAATATAATATTATAATTTATTAATTATAATTACGATAATTAATGTTAATATATTATAAGATTATAAGTTGAGGCTGTAGTTTTAAGAAAAACAATCATGGGTAAAACTTCGGGTTACTTATATTTTAAACCGAAAACAATTTAAAAAAGTGTAAGTATAATCTACTTAAATGTACTTTCAAATTAGTTGATAAAACCACATATTTCTATATTTTTGCCATCTCTTATAGATTTTATATTCCTTTTAAACTTTGGTCTTTATATAAAGTACACGGTCAAAATCGTTTTAATATTTTTAATCATATTTATCGTCTAAAATAAAAATAATTTTACATCATTCCATTAACAGTCTTGAACTTAACAGTAATTAAATTAAATTGTATAACGCCTATGAGCTAAATGTACTGCAATACATTTTCTTAGTATTTTAATAATTTATTTGATCTTCTATCTTACTGACTAATGACGAAACTCTATAGAATTTTCGAGAAAATTTTACCAACAAAACAGTATTGCATATAGATATTGCTTGTTAATACCGCAACACGTAGGTACTATTATTTAACGTACAATAGGTTTATTTCCCTACGAATTGTTATTATACTGGTTCGGCTATACGGTACACCTAATACAAGGTCATATTGTGCGTATACTCCCACGTTTTCGAAAAGTTTTAATCACTTGCAACAGTAATTCAGTGTCAACCACAGTGTTATAATCACACCATAGGTGATTTTTAGTGTGTAGACGCTAAGGTCACATAATCGTAGTAGAAGACGAAGGATATAAATTATTATAGAATATGTTTTTTTTCTCGGTTTATCGATTTCAATCCCAAAACAAACGTATAAAATATACTTCATAAAATTAAAAATAATTTGGAGAACATAACTTCATGCGTTATTAGGAAGGTTTAAAATTTTTAGTAAACGCTAGTCAATTTTTTGGATAACTTTAAGAAAATATTAACAATAGGTAAGGTCATATTTTCTAAATGCATTTTGATGTACGCGCTGTTGTGCTGTCGATCATGGTTATCGATAAAAGAAAATTATGAAATTTCCCTAGAATAAAAACAATAATGGTTTTTTCAATTAATTTTTACAACTATTTTTTTTAAATATAATGGATTAATGGAGATAAACAATATGTTTTGAAATTAATATTATACATAGTCGAACGACCAGAATTGTATTATTTTATTTAATATAGATGGTTTGATACATACCATTTGTTAACCACGATGGACATTGTATTATTAGGTATGTCGTTTCTATTTTTTTTTTTTTTTGAATTAATGTTTTATATATTTATCTATACTTAAAAATACTAGTAATATAATAATAGTACTCGGTACTGAGTGTAGTATTTCATTGCATCTTTATCGAAGATATAGAAATTCTAACATACAGAATCATGTTTAATAAGATACATAAGACTGTAAGGTAAATAAAAAAATAAATTGAAAGTTGAGACATCGATAAGAGACATGGACTAAGTGGAATACCAATAATATACATATGATATACAAAATTGTATTATATATTTGTTTTATACGTATTGCAATTTATACTTTATATTATATGGATACTTTCATAATATCTCATACTTCAGAAATATTTTTGTTTTCTTTAAACTTTAAATGATATACAGTAAAACAGCCATTAACTTATGAACTGTTAACTATAAATTTAACCATGTGAAGTACTTAGATATATACTCCATACATTTTCTGTCTATTGAATACATTTCTAGTTATTAAATTCTATACCAAAATTGTATCAAATGTTGTGCTATAATTTGGGTGTTGACCAATTGTCCTCAGTGGCTATTTTTGGGATTTAAAAAATGCATCTGTTACTCTCACATATTATATACACGATTACAATACAAAATAGGAAAGGTAAATATGTACATAATATAATAAAATTATAAAAATAATATTCGTTATTATAAGTAAGTAACTAAGTATAATTTAATTTGTAGGTATTATATTTTATAATAAATACTAATGAAATAATATGAATATAATAAAACTATAAAATTTAGATACTTGTAGTATATTATTTGAATATAAATATGTAAATAATAAATATACATATGCAATGTAATAAAAGAATAAATACAACTATTTATAATTATAATTATAAATATGTAACATAAAAAGTTATTTGTCAAAAAAATTAGATGTACTTCTAATATTTGCAATTGTAATATTAATGCAAGTACATATTATGTTTCATAATTATAACTAACAAATTTTACAAAATGTAATCTGTTAATTTTTTTTTTTATTGAAGTACACGATTTTAATGTACATTGCCATCCGTTTGTGTTATGCGATATTTATAAAATGTGTACTTAATTATTTGAAACTACTAACATGTTTCCCTTTTCAATAATAATGTTCGTAAAAATTGTCAACAGATCAACGACGTCAGGGCTTTTCGTTAACTAAAATGTACCTCACAAAGTGTACATCATATCACATAGTTGTTTCTTACAATCATAAAAATCCTAACAAGTAATAATAAATAATAATAACATGCGTATTTCGATGAAACCTATAATTGTCGCTCCTCTTTGCCTAAGGCTTGTCTAAAATTCCGCATTCCGGTAAAATTCAACCCTTGCACTCGATGATTTACCACCCCTATTTTACACATTAGTATTATAATCGCGTATATAATATGTAAGATCGACTGGTGCATTTCAATCTTGGTAGTTTGGGGATGATCGGTATAAAAAAAGGTACTTTTGAGAGCGACTGGTGCACGCCCATAATTTTGTGGTCTTCGACTTTTGATAGCTCGATAACGAGTTTATAATCCACAATAGAATTCTTATGGAAAAACATACGCGTACAATAAAAAACTGATTAAAACGCGCATGTGTTTTTATACATTTTTAATGTCTTACACAATCTTGTTTAACAATCTTAATTATAAAACGTTAAAAACAATTAATCGAATGTGATGATTGGTACCCAAACACAAACATCCGTCAGTCACAAGCCGAAACAACCTTAACTACTGCTGCGGTTCACGCTAACGGTATTGCAATAGCTGTACACGAAAAAACGAATGTTTGATTTTACCTTCGTGTTCGGTTTCGCGCGAGCACTTATTTCATGAGAAGTGTCGACGAATCGAACGTGATGCACGCTCTACTAGTTTATCAACGAAAACACTCCAGTACTACCGTTCGTCGTCGTCGTTGTTGTTGTTGTTATCCGAATAAAAACAATAATAATTCCTATTGTCCGGTGCAGTACGTCCCATGCGCGTGCGCGCGCGGCGCCCGCATATCTAATGTCGACGGGAACCGACGTAGTCGGCGCGCGGTAAATTAGGTCAGGTTATATAACGTGTCTATCGCACGCGCAGAACGTGTGAGGCGACCGGTGGTGCACTATTCGACCGCGGGACAATCCGTTCTCCGGCCCGTTACGACACACCGCGCGCGCGCGTTACGCCATAGCGTTTCGTACCGCGTGCCGTTCGCGGCGCGTTTTTCGGCCGCGCGCAAGGCAAACGGACGGGACGCAGACGAAACGCGCCGCAGAGATTCGCGCGTTCCGCTACAGTTTTCTACTGGGCCACCGCCGTCCGACGACTTACCGTGTCCGGTCGCGCGTTCGACGGCTGACAGTTGTCGGCGATCGATACGGAAAACGCGTGCGAAAGACGACACGGTGCCGGTACAGCGATGCCGGGCGCGCACGAACACGGGCGGTGAGACCGTGGTAACGCGCGGCCGACGGCGTATAACGAACACGGTCGTGCGGATCGATAGGGCGCGCGCGAACACCACGTCCCCCTACCCACACCGAGGTCGTCCGGACGGACACGCACAGCGAGCACGTGGCGGTCTTTGCGCTCCGGCGAAAGCGAAACGCTTTTTTTGTATTTTTTTTTTTTTGTTTTATCGACGTGCTGGGTTCGCGCGGCGAACACGCGACGCGCGAAACGGGGCCGCGAACGCGCGTGACCGACGGCGAAACGTTGGGCGCGCGCGGTCGTTTCCGGGCGGTGTACGGTCCGCGCGACCCGACCGACGGCCTCGCGAGTGTTCCCCGCGGTTTCGGTTCGTCAACGTCGTGATGCCCGTTCGTGTAGACGCGGCGCGTTTTTCCGATCGCAGCAGCGACGACCACAAAACTCGCAAAGTTGTCGTCACGTTACTAGTTACATCGTAGAGCGTTGAAAACTGCAAGTTCCGTCCGGACGCATTCGCTTCGGGTTCGGATCGCAGTCACGTTGTGGGTACGTTTCGAAACTGTTCACCGAGCACTCGGTCCGGCGGGTACGCGCGTTAGTCGCCGGTAGGTAACGCCTGCGGACGATTGCAGACTGTTCACGGGGGGGGGGGCTACGTACGGTCGTGCTCTGGTTAACGCTGTAACGTTGTCGAATTCGAAATATAAACGTTACGAAGGTAACATATGTTGTATATAATTTTTTATTTTTTCACTTCGATTACGCAGAGGCGACCGACGTCGTTACAGTTTACCTGCCACGTTCGAACGACGAAATGTACTGTACGAAATACCGGTGTTCTCCGCGCGTTCTCCGTTGTGCACGACGAGTGACGAAAACCGTGGACAATGTATAACGTGACGGGTCATACGGGCACAACGTTATTTTCGGGTTGTCCAAATATCAATTTCTAACACTGAAATCGACGGTAAACAATACGTTTTCGCGAATACGGACGGTCAATTTGATTTTGATTTTTACTTTTTGATGCGTTTACAACAAAACACCAATATTTACGTGAAATAGAGCGACGTATTATAAAAAAGAAAAAAAAAGAGAAAACATGAAAACAACATTACAATTCTGCGATTTTCCGTGCTCATAACGGACGTGAATTGTGTTACACGTTGTGCAGCATTCGTAATTTTGTCTGATTGATAAGTTGACCGAGAGGGCAACACTGTGCAAAACATTATGTGTGCAGCCGGCATCATACTTTGAACCTGTTTTCACTTGTTCCACCGGCGACCAGTTGTTCGCGTACTTCACGTCGCTGTCAATGTGTTTCGACGTCGTTTGTCCGTGATCATTTCGTTTTGAATATTTTATTCGTTTAAAACAACGTGAACTGGTATAAAATAAAAAGTTTCAATTGAGTGATGCTTTAAAATCAGAAGTGGGGAACCCTTCAATATGGATAGGCCCAAGAGGCCTTTTTTTTCATTAAAAACACCGAAAAAAGATGATCCCCCGCAAGATAACGTACCTCAGAAGAAATCATTCAAAGATAAAGTTGATTTTTTCGAAAAAACAAACGTATCTGAAGAAAGCCAAGATGCTGGTAAATTTTTAAATGACTTAAAAATCGTCAATTTGTTACGACTGTGATTCAATATTATCTATTGCGAGCATTTGAAAAACATTTGAATTATAATTTACATTTTTTAAGTAACCAAAACGCTATAAAAAAAAAATTAAATTAAAATTTTAACAAAACAATTATTTTAGAAGTAATTTTTATTTTCTTAAATATATATTATACACAAAATTGCAAAAGCACGATAATTGTTCATATTTGATATGCTTTTATATTAGCACTTTTTTATTAAATCGTTTTATCTAATTGTTACAATGCTGATTGATTTCTACATAAATTTAGATCAATTCTGTTTTTTTTTCATATTTTAAAGCCATTTTTATCTGCAAAATTTAAATATTTTACGATACAATATTGTAGATATCTAGATTTCTAGAAATTAATTAAACGGGAAATAAGTAAAAGGTTGTTTTCTCCTTGTCAGATACTCGGATTGTATTGTCTATGATATTTATTAAAATTATTCTATTAATTTCCAACGCTAAACTGCTTATAAAATATACATTTAATACATTAATGTAACATTATACATTAAAAAATACAAATAAAATATAATTTCAAACATCGGTTATACATATTTAAGAACTATCCTACAATATTTATACGAGTATACATTTACATAAAAATAAAATTTGTTTAACTATTTAAATCTATCTTTTATCGCCTTATCTAATCAAATAACTCGTCAAGAAAACAAAAACAAATAATTATAACGTACAATATGTGGTTAAGATTTTATCATTTTTATTATGTAATTAACAATTGATAAATTTTATTAGTTATCTACATTTATGGTAGTTAAAATATATAATAATTTTAATGGAATCATTTAGAAGTTATTTTAAATCTGTATATTACTTACTATTACTTAAATTGTTTTACATTACTATTTATCGATTTGTTTCCATAAACAAATTAACAAGTAATTTCATACAAAAGTATTTTCTCAAAGCTTTAAAAGTTATAATTTTAATGATATTTTTTTTTCTGTAGGAGAAAAATGAATAGTTTAAATTTGTTCAAAATTCAATTTTTTTTTTTTTTTTTTTTTTTGTATATAAAAAATTAACCTTGACAACAAATAGCTACCAGTTTAATTTAGCAACACAAATAATTTAATACAACTTATTCATCATTGACACTATTTTATGTAACGTCCTCTGGCTGGGTACAATTTTAATTTTAACTAGAAATCATGAAATAAACATACACATTTTTACATAACTAAGTAAAAAACTTTTTATTTACTTCGTTGTTACTGACATTTTTTCCTGCTATTCTAAAATTATGATTGATTCTTTTTATTTTTTAATAATTATTTGAATACCACGATATTGTACAAAGTTAATAAAATAATTATAGTGAATTTTCATATTTGTTATTCATTGTTAAAATAGTAGTAATAAATCGCGAAACATTAGTTATATTATTAATTTATTTTAAATTTTCAGAAATAAAAAACATTTCATTTTAAACCAAAATTAATTTTATTATTATAATATTTTTTAATAGACCTAATTAAAATTAATAATTTAAGTGTGTTTGAGTCTAAAAACGTGCAGATATGCATTCTTTTACTTTTTTTCAAACAAAATTGTTTATATATTCGTTCTTTGACCACCAATATAATATTCAAAATTATCCTACTACATGCCTTTTAAATTTATCATGTTGATGAAATATTGATAAAGAAAAACAGTACGTGCTGTTTTGCAAAAAAAAAAAAAAAATAAGAAAGAAACTTATTATTAGATACACATAAATTTAAATCTTATGGCTTATAAAACCGGTTTAAGAATTTGATTTATATTCGAAATCAACCGGTATTCGTTATGTTCTGTATTGCTTTACATTTGTTTTAAATATTAAATTTGATAGCTTTTTTTTTCACATATTAGAAAATTAGTATTCTTTGTTAATTAAATTTCCAAAAAGATAAATAAAATTAAAATATAAAAGCTAAATAACCTCAGACGAGATTGGTTTTTAACTGTAAATTAGTAGAATTAAAACTGAATTTTATAATAATATTTCTATAAAGCACTAAAATAAAGTCTATATAAAGTCTGGTTATTTTATGTGTGTAATATATAGACAGTAGTCTCAACAAATTTAAAACTTAAGTACTATCAACCATCACAGTTTTGTACATCTACTAAGATGACATTTATTTTTGTCGATAAACAAAAAAAATTATATCAGATTAATAACTTAAAATTAATTTCTCATTATCAGTATGTTTTAAAGTGTTCATATAATATTTTTGCATTACTGATTACCAATTTAAGTATTCAACGGCTTTATTAATTTTAATTTCATTACACGAATTGATTCTGAAACTGCCCTATAAATTATTTATTATATACCTTCGTTCATTCACCTAAGCGTAAATGAAATTAATATTGAATACAAAAGCACACATTGTTTGGAAAAATATATGATTGTTTAATTTTATGAGGCATACACTTTCATTTATTATATTCATAATACCACTGTGGTGTTGTATTTTGATAATTTTCAATGGATTAACTATTTTCTATAATAAATGATCAACATCAATATTTTTTAAGTGACCTAATTATTTATTACAATGCAGTTTATCAGTGCAATTAAAATTAGTAAATTATAAGTGTACCAATAAAAATATATAATAATAATTTATATAAGTTAGTTAATGAAAAAAAGATACTAGTTGCACTAAATATGTTTTATTTTATAAGCCGTGTTGGAGTACATACAGATGTACGTATATATTATTTATTTATAAAACAGTTTCAAATCATTAATCTGGAAAAGAGGAATTGTTACAAAAATAATTCTAAATTAATATAGCCTTAACAATTTAAACTTAAATAAACATGTTATTATTTTTTTCCTTTGTTATATTTAAATCTTAACATATATTTTTTTAAATTATATTTAATAATCGAGGTTAATATCATTAGATGTTGTTTTGAATTTAATTTAAAGATTAATCGAACCACAATATTTTTGCGTTTAAATAAATGCATGTATGAACGAATAAATTAAATAAAAGATTTATAATATTTATAAAAAAAATTGAAAAGATGAAAGCAGATCGACCATACAAAGGATTAAAAATACCAATCTTTAAAATGTATTTTTCATTTAAATTTTTACCGCTACCTTAACTGAAAAATAAAATAACAATACAAATATTGACGTTAATAAAAACATTGGATATTAAGGGTTTTTAAGAAATATTCTTACAATATTTATTATTTAAATGTTTAGTTGTATTTACACAGCTATTTAAAATTAATTTGAAATTTGAAATTTAATAATAATATTTAAGTGCAATGAAAAATTGTAACCATGAAATATTTACTCATATAATGTATGTTATAAAATTATAATACTTAATAATTTAAATTAACTTAAATACTATAATACTTTGAATCCAAAATAAATAAAATTTTAATTAGAAAGATTAAAAATAAAAGAAATTTCAATAATAAATAAAAATTAAAAGTCTGTAAAGAGAAAAAATACAACATACAATAAATTCAATATAAAGAAAAAAAATTATTGTTAATTTGGTAATTGTTATATAAGGTAAATGAATAAAAAACAAAAATATTATCCGTAATCATCTCAGTATAATTTAATATTATGTAATCATTTTTTATATTATATATAGGTCCTAAATGACACATTGATGGTTATATTAAGGCATATATTATAGGAAATTCAGGTATTTTAGTGGAACATAATGTTAAAACTTGCAACTGTTAATACTGGCATATTTAAAAATGTTCTTGCATATATTTTTAAATAAAACATGTCGACTATATGATCCGTCAAGTTTTAATTTATAATATATTAACATGATCAGTACTAACTTAAATATCAACTTTAAATAAAATATATTGTTGAAATTGATTACAATAAAATACATTTTATTCGATTAAATATTAGTATTACATTATTTGGAGAAGTAATTTATATTCATTTGAATGCTTGCAAATAGATACTTCATAATAAACTAATAATCGCAGTCGTTAAGTAAGCCGAGATCTTAAATTAAGTTGAATTTTCATTCAATAGCTGTTGGTACTGGGGGATTATGTGATGGGTCGAGTGATGAAACTTTCGAGCAAGTGCTCGAAGAACGTGATGTGTACACTAAAGATGGTCGAAAAAAAGGCAAAATGGTCATTGTGAACATGGTTACGGTACACAAGAGTGTAAAAACTATTAATAGTCCTGAATCGAGTCCTGTGGTCAAACAATCGCTGTCATTTGATCGAGAAAACCCAATAAGCAGATCCTCATCCCGAGATAGTATTTCTTCACCGCAAAGTTGGAGGAAATCATTTGTTGGTACTCGGTCACAATTTGATTTACACATTGAAGAAATAAAAAGTAAGCATTAAAAAATATTGGATGTTTAAATAAAACAAAACCATTATTTTTTAAATATCTCATAGTCCTAACTCATAAATTATTAAATGCACATAATTTTTTTTATAATATATTGTACATACATTTTGAATAAAACATTTAAAATAAATGTAAATTTTGTCTTATGCTTTCTATGATTTATTATTTACGTTAGTATACGTGCAAAATATTATTTTAAGTGATAAATGGAGCTTTATTTGTTTTACGAAAAAACATAATACCATAATATTTTTGAAAAGTATTTTCTAAGAATGTAGGCTCTTCATAAAAATATCTTTATTATTTTGAAGCTATTATTTATTGGTTATGTACAAATTATTTAATGTACGATAGTGGATAAATGTGATCAAAATTAGAAATTCATGATACATTTCTACGAGAATATTAAAATATAAAATCTCAATAGATTTTTTTCTTACGGTAAATAATTTGTGAATAAATGTATTATTACGTAGGTAGGTACAATATGTTTTGTAATTAATATTTATTATGCATCTACATACACAAATATCTACTATATTTAATATAATACAATAAATGTAGACATAATACATTAGAAAATATACGTACAATTTATAATAAAACCAAAATATGTTTAAAAAATCTTAAAATTTCTCAATTAATATTTATTTTTAAACACATACAGTTTGATATTTGCCGAAAATCATTCATTTAATTACTACATTATTTTTTCCAAGAAGAATCGATTATAAATTTCTTATACATTTTATTTTTAATGTCATTGAAAAAATTAAATATCATATTGTCTACAAATATTTTAACTATATTTTAAACATTTTGGAAATTAATGTTTAACGATTTTATTTTTTGAACATTGAACATTAAATAAACAAACTTCACGGATAGTTAACTAGTAATTAGTATTAAAAAATAATAATTCATAGAATGTTATGATTAATTGTTGTATTCAAGTTTAATAAAACAACAATTTTGTGCTACACTAGTTAGTATTGCGATTTATTATTATTTCAAAATTCTACTTTCGAAAACATGAAAAAAAAGTAATATCAAATTTTAATTTTAAATAATAGAGTAAGGAACATAAGGGCACTTATGTATTTAATTGTATAACAATATTCGTTACGAATTATATAATTTAAAAATATATTTAATTATGCGATATTATGGATAAATGCGTTAGAATGGCTTGCAAATGAAAGCCTTTTTTTTTATTTTGAACAAAACACTAAACACGTTGATGTTTACGTATGTATCTAAAAATACATAATTATGTAGATTTACGTTACTAAATTAAACTTGTTTTGAAACAATCTTTTAAATATATGATTAAAACTGAAGTTTGATTATTTCCAATATTTTCTTCTCAATATTAAATGTTGTCGAGTAGTAGGTATTGAATGATATATTCGTAATAAAGTTTTTCGTTACAAATAATTTATTCGTCAAATATTTTTTCTGTAGTCAGTGGTACTTATGTAAGAGTATTGTTATGGGTATGGCGACAATTGATAGAGTAAGTTAATTTGGTGTCACATTCTGACGAATAACCTCACATTATGTAATTCATAATGACCGTCTGATTAAAGAATGAACTACACAATGGTCTATTTCTAGAGGCTAAAATTAAAACAGCATCAAATAAGTTTAATCGGTTTCAGTGGATTTTTAGAAAATACATTGTGCAGTTTATGTCTTATTTATAGCCGCTATCCCCGGATGAAATAGGCTAATGAAATTATTCAGTCTGGTACTTTTAGCCAAAATAAATACAATCGATTTCATATTCAAGTGACGTGTATACTTACAGAAATGTTATCCACTCACGACGAAATGTTTGATGTATTATAATTAAGTAAATTATATTCACCGATAAATATTGGTATAATCGTATATGAAATTATTATTGTAAAAAACCGTAAACGAATTTGATTTGGTTTAAAAAAATATTCATTTAAAGAATTATTATTAAAACCATTGTATGTATGTAATAATAATGGTGAATTATCTTTAAAAAATTAACAAAATTTAAATATTTATTAGGAAACAAAATAAGAGTTGAACAAATTACTTGTATTGTGAACTTAATTATACAAATGTAATGGCTTATCAGTTAAGTTAAAATAACATAATATTATGGAGTTCTAAAAGTAATAAAATATTTTACATCACGCGATGTCAAAACCGTGTTGATTTCAATAAATTTTTGTTGATTTCAAACAAAGTTTTTATAAACTTACACGTACTTTAATTTTTATTAGGTTAAATTATGTGCAACTATATAATGAAAAAATGATGAATTATGTAAAATCTACATGGTGTTTTTATTTATAATTATTACCAAGTACTTGTATATTTACAACGAAGATCCTAATCGACCATGTTGTTTGATATTTATTTTCTGGACAGCAACATTTTCAGAAAATAATTTTTAGCAATCTAAGTACTAAGTGAATCAATAATTAGTAGTATTATCATTTACTCTTTAAATAATGTATACAATTATTTTAAAATATAATTATCTGTAAAAATTATCATTAGTTATATCGTCCTGTAGAGGAGTACAATGGACATAAAATGTTTATTTATTTTAATATGTATGTCGGTAAATTATAATATATATATAAATTTATTTTTAATAACATAAGCCTTAGGCTATTATTGATTTACTTGCAAACTAAAACATGTAATTATATCTCTCCGCCCGTTTAAACTTGTTTTTGATAATATTTATTGGTATATACTTTACATAAATGCACAATTTGGCATAATTTTTAATTTAAGTTGAAAATTCACGATAATAATATAATGGAATCTTATGAGCTTTAAACTGTGGACAACTATTATACGTATCATATTATACAATTAGTAATTTTAAGTAAAATATTTCTAATAAGATGTTAATTTAAAAAATAAAATCATATATTTTTAAGTTTTAATTGACTATTGATGCTTTGTATTGTTTAGTAAAAGAAAGCTGATTTACATTTTCTTACGAGTAACCAAAACTATTAAACCGGTTATTGTTATAAAATGAAATTCGTTGGCAGTGTTTTACAGTGTTTTTTATTATAAATGTTTGAAAACGATATTTAAATACATTTAAAATACGTACAGGTTTTTTCACAACCTAATCGTTAAATGATTATCGTGTTTGAAACTCATTCCTTTGGTTCATTGTTAAAGTTTTAAACGTCAAACTACTACCGTTTATCTTATAAAAACATGATTTAAAGTTGAACATTAAAATATACATTAAAAAACAAAGTGCATTTTTATTTTAATATACATATAATAATCCATATAGTCTAATAAAGTCTAACATAATAATAAAAAAATATATTTTTAAATTTATTTATATAAAACATTTTAAAAAGTTATAAAAATCAAATTATTTAATGTTGATAGTTAAAAATAACTATATATCCATACCAAGTTGATTGTTATAATAAGTATCAAATTAATTTAATAAATGTAACGTAATTTCTTATTCATTAGAATTTGAGCAATAAAAATAGTATTTTACAAAAAAAATTGCCTATATTATATACCTTATTTATTACTTTTTAGTTTATTATTCTATAATAAATAGTGAATACTTCATATAAAATTTATTGGTTTAAAATTATTCATAATTAGTTTTAGGTACATTTTTTTACTTAAAGTACTAGTATTATACTGAAAATAATCAAATGTCACATAACGTATAAATGGCTCGATTCATGATTTATAAAATTGATCTGAACACATGTTACTTTAAATATATTATATAGTTCTCTAAGTTTTCGCGTTACATAAGACTTGTAGAAATGAAAATCGTAGTGCGATATTCCTAAGCCGTTTAATATTAGTATCGATTAAACATTTGTCCCTTATTGCATTATTATGTCAGTTCGGATACCGGTACGGTGACAACCTAAAACAAAAACAAGTGATCTACTGTCCTATATACTTCATGTTTTTGAAATAATATTATAAATTGCAAATACTCACGAAATATTTGAGTTTACGGTTATTTTTATTTTCATTTTTTTAAATAAAACAGCCCTAAGGCACAGGTTACTAATAGCATTGTTGTTCTTATGTTTTGCATTGTAGACGAACAGGAGAGAGTGCAGAAGAAGACTTTTGTAAACTGGATAAACTCGTATTTGTGTCAAGTAACGTGAACTCCTATATAATTTATATTTTTGTATTTATTGATGTAAACTCATACATTTTAATGATTAATTATTATTCATTTTTTATTTTTATTTTTATTATTGTATTTTTGTATTTTCTAGAGGATACCACCCCTAAAAATTGATGATTTAATCGAAGATCTTAAAGATGGTACGAAATTACTTGCATTATTGGAAGTCTTGTCTGGAGAAAGACTGGTAAATATAATACTATCATTTAAAATAAAAATATAATTTACATTATAAATGTAATAATTTTTTTCAGGCTATTGAGCGTAGTCGAAACATGAGGAGACCACATTTTTTGAGTAACGTAAATAGTGCAATACAATTTTTACAGAGTAAACGAGTCAGTATATTTTTAGATTAACCATATAAATTTAGTTTTATATTGATATTTCATATAAACAAGAAATTCATTTTTTTTTTAGATTAAATTGGTAAACATAAACTCGGCTGATATTGTTGATGGGCGACCTCCTATTGTTTTAGGTCTTATCTGGACTATAATTTTGTATTTCCAGGTAATAAAAAGATTATTTTATAATAATTTAGTTTTTTTTTTTTAAATAATTTGATAATTATATAATTATATTCTAAGCTTCATAAAAAAGGAATTACAGTAACTAATGACGTGAGTATAATAGTAAATAAATTAAGATTAATATTAAAGCAATTTTAAAAAAGGTTTGTCATATATTGTTAATTAATTTCTAAAAAGCTCTTCATAACTATTTTACAGATTGAAGAAAATACAAAAGGACTGACATCATTAAACTATTCTTTTAGTGGAAGCACGAGTAGCTTAGAAAGCATTCGATCACCTACAATGGAAATCAGCAAAAAGGCAGATGGTGCTAAAAAAACGTTGTTAAAATGGGTTGGAACCGTAATTCCTAAGTAATTATTTCATAACATTCAATCTGAATCAAATCAACAAGAATATAATGGTTTTTTTTTTTTTAGGGAAAGTAACATAAAAGTAAAAGATTTTGGACCAAGTTGGAGAGATGGTATAGCTTTCCTTACCATCATAGATACTATAAAAACTAATTTAATCGACATAACTACTTTGAAAAATGAAACTAATCGTATAAGATTAGAAACTGCATTCAATGTTGCTGAACAAGATTTAGGAATAGCTCGATTACTGGATCCTGAAGTATGTATTAAATAATATACCTATACAATTCTTATTCTTCAATATAATATTTATTAATTTACATAAATTTGCAGGACGTTGATGTAGATCGACCTGATGAAAGATCAGTTATGACTTATGTTGCACAATTTGTACATAAATATCCCGAAGTTCGCAGTGAAAGTGGAGAATCAATTGATAAAATACAAAAAGATTATAATTTGCTATTGTCATGGTTAACTGAAAGAACTCAATATTTGTCTTGGCCTCAAAATTTATCTCAAGATTTTTCGGTTAGTACTAATAAGTTCAACAACTAAATATGAAACATGTATCATAATTAAATAAACACATTTATTTTTGTATTACTTTTAGGAATTTTCCAAATCCCAAGATGAAATGGTAGAAATGAGTAGTATATTCAACAGGTTGAAAAAAATATGTAATTCTGGATCATCAATCAGTATTTCTGGGCAATCATGGAAAGAATTAGAGAGACTTTGGATGTTACTAGATAATTTAGTAAAATCATTAAACTTTAAAACATAAAAATTTCCAACAATGATATTTTGAATCAAAATAAATATTATAAATATTTTTACAGATGAAAAATTGGCAATGGCAGTTAGATCTCTGTCTACCTCAACCATTTAAAGTTATTGGAGAATGGGTCACAAAAGCTGAGCAGCTTATAAATGATAATACCATTCCATCAGTTATGAATGAAGAGACAGCTGTAATAATTAGCAGAAAATTGGAAGATCATAAGGTATTAGTAAACTTATAATTTCCATACATTAACTAATTCACTTATAACATTTTATAGTTATTTTTTGCCGATTTACCCGAAGTTCAACAAAAATTCAATGAACTCTTAGTAAAAACTAAAAGTCAAAATAGAGAAGTAAATAATCTATCAAGACGTCTTGATGCTATTGAAGTAGATTCACATAAGCGGCGTACTTATCTAAAATTTTTGGAGCACAAGGTAGTATAATAATTCTAACAAAAAAAATGTTATAGTGATATAAAAATTAATTAAAATTGTATATAGTGTTATAATATTGAAATATGTACTAACCAAAATTAAACTAAAAGCATGGACCCTTTGGGTAGTTAAATTATAAAAAGCATATTTATTTTTTAGTGTTGTTTAATTGCATTTTTGAATTTGACTGAAAATAAACTAAAAGCATGGACTGTTAAATATGGCCGTCAACAGGACGTTTTGCAACTTCTCGAAAAATACAACAATTTCGTTATAGGAAACAATATATTTCAAGAATTTAATAAGGCATTTATAGACATGCAGAATGTCGTACAAGAGTATAAACAAGAGTGCAGTGTAGAATATAGAGATTCTATTGCTATTGAAAAATTTATGAGACAGACAGCTGAACAATGGAAAAGTATTGCAATGGAATTAAGATGTGCACAAAGCATGCTCGAAGAAGTCATATCCTATTGGAGGCGATGGAGTAAAATATCTGAAGAAATGAAATTATGGTTAGCGGATGCTGTTATAAAAGTTGATTTGCCACATGAACAGAAAATCGATTTCTTTCAAGTATTTTCGGTATATTTTAATTTAAATCTATAAAAAATTAAAAAAATTATATTGCTTAGGATATTGGTGTTTGGAAAGAAAAATATGAGTTGCTTAATGATACAGTTAGCTTTTTAGTGGCAACATGTGAAGATTCAATTAGTGCCGAATTAAAACAAGAATTTCTTAGTATAACAAGTGCTTGGGAAAGTATATTCATGGTATGTATCTCACTAAATTAACTGCAGTCGCAATTCATACATTTTTTTTTTATAGAAAACTAAAAATCACATGCATTCTGGTGATATGATCAGAAACAGAAAAGAATATTTAGAAGGATTAGACATATTACACAAATGGAATATTCGTGCAGAACACATTATGTCATCAATACATTTGAGCTCGTCGCGGAAAATTAAAGATTACTTAAACGATATCCAAGTATGCTCATAAATATAAAAGTTATAAAAACATTTTTTTAAATAAAAATGAAATGTTTCAGATACTTCAAACACAATTAGATGAAATGGATGATCTTTTTAAGGCAATCAGTAAAAAGTTTCAATTATTAATAAAAGATTTAACGAGAGATGAAGTCAACGAGATGATGCTATGTATAAAAAAAGAAAAGGGTAAATCCAATTATACATCTTATGCAATTTTAATATTTTAAATATTCAGGATCTTTGATAAGATTTATAATCTTTATACTTGATGAATTTTAGCTTTAAATATTCTATTCAAATTTAAGTATAAAAATTGTAGTGTTATAAATAAACTATACCTATTAATAACTATATTCTTTTTTAAATTCTGAAACTATGATGATTTTTCTTTAATTGAACTTTACTATTTTTTTTATGATTTTGTGATATATTGTTATAATTTAAAAAGAATCTTTGTATTTAATGGATTGATAAATATAAAAGTGTAAATTTATCACTTAGGTATTAAATTTGGTTTTTTTTTTTAATATGTCTACAAAAAATAAAAATACGAGGAATCAGTATTATTAACTAATTTTGTTTCTTTTTTGCCTGATAAATGTTCAATGTACTTATTCCATATAAATATATTTTTTTTGATGTTTTTTTTTTTTTAGTTCTTTCTATATTTTTAATCAGAAATATTTTATTTAAAATTAAATTATCTTCTAGTTTGGATTATTGGCTATATTTAAAGTATTTTGTTTGGTATTTCTATGGCCGTTACTAATTTATTCAATGAAATCCTATGTATTCTATATTTGTATTATACTTAAAAACCATCCAATACGTATAATACATGAACTTAATTTTATTGTTTTATTTATTTTAGAATCTCTTGTCAATATTAGAGCGAGTATACCTATACAATTAAATGCACTTCATCATATGCTTGTTCAATATGATGCTCTTGAAACAGGTCAAAAAGAAATAAACGATTGGTTAAATAGTTGTGATGAATTTTTGAGTACATTAAAATTAAGTAAAAATCGAGAAGAACTGTATAGTGATATTGATTATTTGAAGGTATGTTTTTAGTAATTTAATTCAGTAATGAATTATAAATTAATATAATAATTAATTTTCAAATTTTTTAGAGCATATTAATTCGTATGTCCTACTACCAGTCTATGTTATCAAGTAAGAATAAAATATTCCAAAGCATTATTAAATCAATACAACCGGATAATGAACAAGAAAGCAATGCTGAGTTTGTACAAACAATGGCTGATTTAAATGCAAGGTTTTCAAGAATTACTCAAGAGTGTCAACATTGGGATATGGTATGCATCTACATCGTTTTATGAGTAAAATATAACATAAGGATAAATATTATAAACAGATTTGATTTTTTTTAGAAATTACAACAAACTTTAAGATGCTGGCATAATTTTGTTGAAGTGGAAAATGTGATACTAGATTGGATTGAAACTAGTAAAAAAATATTTTCAGAAGAAATGACAAGCTTAAGGCAAACTTTAGAATCCCAAAAAGTGAGTTTTCTATCAGAAATATTAATCTTTATATTGATTTTTAATTTTTTCCGACATTTTTTATGTATAGGATTATTTTGAGTTTTCCAATAATAATAAATGGATTACGGAATTGGATACTGTTGAGGATGAACTACTTAGATGTATTGTACCCAGTGAACAAGAATCAATAAGAAATAGATCCAAAGCAATAAAATTGAAATACCAAGTATTATTTAATTAAACAACTGTTTAGAAATCATATCTTTATTTATATTATCTTAGGAATGTTTAAGTATGGTTCCTGAATACCTGACAAGAGTTGAATTTAAACTAAATGAAATTACATTCAATCAATGTATGAATGAGGCAGAAAAAGAACTTAATATTGAGCAACAGATGTTCAGTAGAAATGATAATGTTAACTTGGTACTCAATCGAAATATTGTAAGCTATACCCAAATTGTTTCTTAGCAGTAATTATTATTATTTTATTTACCTATTTTAATTGAAATTAAAGGAATACTTTGATAATGGCGTGATATTTAAAGAACTTAAATCATGTTTAAATAATATGACTGTCGCTAGTAAAATAATAGCTAATCCATCACTGGATTCTACATTAAACAAATCAATCAATCGATTTAAAAACATAGAAAAAAGAAATATAGAAATGAGACAAAAATGCAAACAAATACCTAATCAGTTTCAAGATTACAAATCTAAATTTAACGATATTGAGAAATGGATGAACGCAGTTGATATAAGCGTTCAACGATTGTTAAAAGGACTTTTAAATGACGAAGAATTTGAAAAAGAAAAATTCATATTCCAAGTAAATCAATATCTGTAAGCGCTTTATTTATTTTCAAATTATTTTATGATGTTTTATTTTACATAGGAAATATGCCACGATGTTGATAGCAAACGTGATGATATGAAGTGGATGGTTCAAATATTGGATAGTCTTTTACCATACATACCTCAAGAACAGCAACAAGTAGAACAGAAAAATTTAGAAAATCTTATTGCTCGTTATAAGCATTTAATACCAACTATAGACATGACTATAACCAAAACCGAAATGTATACTAAATGTTTTATATATAAAAAAGAAGTAACAGAAGTAAGTTAATTTAAATACATATTTTCTTATGAAGTTATAACATTACACAAATGGTTATATATTATTTTTTTTTATAAATAATTCATTTTATTATTAGATTGGAAATATTCTACAAAAGACTAAAGAAGAACAGTTATCTAAAAAAGGTGAGTCATGGGATGATTTAAATGGACTAATAACAAATCAGGAACAAATAATTGAAGAACTTGAGAAGCAACGAGTAATAGTTATGTCAACATTGCAACGAGGCAAGCAACTAGCTAAACATTCTACTTCCGTGCCAAACTTTATTCCACAACTTGTTACTAAACTGGAAACAGATTGGAGTGTTGTATATAATGAATCAATTGATAAGTTCAACAAATTAAAAAATGCTCAAAAGCTTTTAATAGAATACACGAAAACTAAAAATGAAGTAATGGAAATAATCAGAAAAGCTGAAAATGAACTAAAAACAATATCTGATGATAATAAACATAACTCAAAAGAAATCTCAATGCAATTAAGAAGTAAACAAGAATTAAGTCTCGCATTGCGAGAAGCTGCTGAAAGTCTGTTAAATAAGTTGAAAGATATATCGCAAAATTTACATATCCCAGAAAAACAATTTGATATTGAAAACGAAGTAAAGTTATATTAATATTCTTATCTAAATTTTAATATTCATTTTTTTTTTTTTTTTTTTAGATTAATGCAATTGAAAGTCAATTAGAAAATACTATGCAAACAGTGAATAAAGAAACACAGAGATTGGAAAAGCTTTCAATGAAACTATGTGAACTAGATTCAGGATTGAATAAAATTCATATTTGGTCCGTAGAATCTGCTCCAGCAGTTATAGAAAGAATACAGAAAGATGAATCAAATCCAGAAATGAAAGCTCGAGGAATGGAACAAGTTCAAGACGAATTACAAAAACGAAGAAATAGCTTAGAACGATTAACACAAGATATACAAAGTTTTGAAAAAGGTAATTAGCTACATAAAACTCAGGTTTTTATAAGTCCATGTATATCTTCTTATTCAATAATAAATTATTGTGTATGTAATATATAAATTGAGCAAACAAAATATTTAGAAATCCATTTTTTTTTTTTTTTTATGTGGTATGGATAACTAAAACAACATAATGCAATGTCTCAATATTATAATATGATTAATGTTTTACTTCTATTATTTAATTTTTATGGAGAATTCTTTAGTTCGTAAAATTCATTATATTATAGTATAAATCAGTTATATTATAAATAATATATATTCATTAAAATGTCAGAAATATATAGACAAAAATGTGTAATATTTCTATACTAAAGTTTGGAAAAATTATAGATTTCGATTTTAAATTTATATGTAGCTAATAATTAAGTAAACAGATATATATTCCAAGGGCGTATTTAAGGAGGGGCGAAGGGAGCATTCGCCAAGAATATAAATTACTAGTCTATCATTATAATATGTTATTATAAGGGCTCGAAAATTGTAGCACTAAAAATGTTACTTTTTAGCTCTTAAATATGCACTTAAAAACTCTAAACTATGCGCTATAAATAGTACGAAAAATAAAAATATATGCAAAATTTTTAAATTTATTAGAAAAAAAAATAATTTTACAAATTGTTGGGCTCTAGACACAGTCTGGACTGGTTGAATAATAAACTGTTAACAAAAGTGTTATATTACATAAATATATTTGTAAAAATGTACTTATTATTAAATTATTGACCTTAGAAATTATCCTGGACAGGGCTTGCAAACGTTATAATAACGTTATGATTATAACGTTACATTTGATAAAAAACGATTGAAATTTGTAAACGTAATTATAACGGAAAACGATAAACATAAATAAATAAATAACACAAAACAAAACGTAACGTTTAACAAAATATATGATATATCATTAAACAAAACATAATGCAAACGGTATATATTGTATTCCATTAAATGAAATATTAATTTCCAATTATTTAATAATATTTAATAGTATTCAATTATTTATTCAATCCAAATTTTTTTTTTTCGAATGATTATTAAAATGTTTGATAATTTAATGCAATGATATAATAAGGAAATAACAATAACGTCACTAACTATTAATTCATCAAATTTTCGATGAAAACAATATTTGATGAGGTCTATTTATTTCCAATTATTCAAATATTTTTAAAAATATAATCAAGTAAATACAATTATTATCAACAAAATATGATTATTATAACAGTAAAATGAGCTGTAGGTAATGAACTGTAAATTATTTTTAAGTTTGTATTGAAGTAAAATGAATTTCGCTCCCCCCCATGGCCTCAACACAAATACGCCCTTGATATATTCTGTAAGTGTATTTTTTACCACTTGGCTGTCTCTTTATTACTTATTTAAGTTTACGAAATATCTTCGTCTAAATATGAGGGATTTTTAGTTTATTTTAAAAAGGTAATCCGTTTAGTTTCAATTATATACCATAAGTCAAATAAAAGTTAAATGCCGTAGATAATTTTATAATTATACATTTAGAAAATAGTACTAAAAACAAATAGTTATTAAATTATTAAATAAAAAACCAAGATATAATTGAAAATTGTTTCAGACCAGACACTCCACCTATAGATAAACATATTTTTATCAATGTGTTGTATAATGTTGTTATATATATATATATATTACTTTTAGAAACCGATACTAGCGAAACGCAAAAACTTAGACAAGACTTGGATGAAGTTAGAATGTCTATATTAAATTTAGAATGCAATACTAATCGCAAAAATGAAGAAATTAATATTGATCTTAATGAGTGGCAAATTCATAAAGCAAAATTAGAAGAAATTAGACCTTGGCTAGAGAATGCTGAAAAAAAAATTAATACTGACTATGTTAAACCAATTACATTGCAATTTGCAAATGATTGGTTAGAAAATGCAAAAGTAAGTTATGACAAAATATTAATATAACTTTGAATCTAATCCTATTACAATACACTCATTTTTAATTAGTTAATGGATTCGGAATGCAAAGAAAAAATTGAAAATCTTAAGGCAATAACAACCGAAAATAAAACTGCTGTTATTTTGAACGAAGTAGATGCAATACAATCTCGTTGTATATCGGTACAGTCATCTGCAATTCAACAATCTACCCGTCTCCAAAGGTTGTTATTAAATTGGAATGAGTTAATCGACAAAACTCAAAAAATAGAAGATAAACTAAACCAACCAAAATTATCAAAATTAAATGCTTTAATAATAAGTCAATCACTTTCAGAAGATATACTTGAAAAAAAACTATTGGAACACAAAGTAACAATTATTTTTTTATTTTTTTTTTTTCAAAATTTCATATTACGAATGATTATTGATTTTAGGTATTACATCAAGAACTTATCGAATGTCAAAGTGAAATTTCTAGTCTTTCACAGAGCTTAAATGGAATTAGTCAACAGTTTACAACCGAGACTACAAATGATGTGAAGGATAAATTAGCCAATTTAAAAAGCAAAAATAACGAATACTTAAAGCTAGTGCATGAACACATGCAAACTATTTCCAATATAATTTTAGACAAGTTAGTAACATTTAATAACAATAACTAGTTTTGGAGATGAATAAATCCCTTTAATTTTTTATAAAATACTTTTACGAGTATGTATAATAATTAATGTTAATGTTATACTAAAACAAAAATATATACTATTCATAATTATTTTTATATTAGGTTTTTTATTTTTAAAATATTTAATTCTAACGTAAAAAATATTTATTTATCTATAATATAAAAGTGTTATTAATTTATTATTTAAGGTTACTGTATAATATACTCGTATACTGTATTGTATAGTAACCTTAAACATTTATATATAAGTAGCTTATAAATAATAACAGTATGTATAATACAAATATAAGTATATACCTACTACCCAATAAAAAAATAATAATAAATAGATATATAAATAAATATAAATATAATTTTACTATGGCAAAACCCCGATCTAAACTGATAACCTTTATATATAAATATAAAGAGGATTAGTTATTTTGGAAAAAATAGGTAAAAGACCCAAAAATAAGATTGTGAAAAGTGGATTACCACTTTTTTTTGTGACCATTGTGTATTATACAGCACAATACATTTATTCCAGAAAAGAACACAACATCAAATTTAATACATTTTGTGAATGGTTGAATGAACTGGATTCAAAAGTAAGCAAATGTAATGTTGTTTCAAGTAATACAATTGAGCAAACACTAAAGAAGCTGCACTCCTTTACTGAAGAACATATGGAAAAACAATCATTATTTATTGAAATTGAAGACAATTTTAAAAATTTTGATAACAATTCTGCAGTACAACAATCAATTATGCAATTTAAAGTAATATATTTAAATATGATTTTTAACGTCATTATTTTGAATTAAAATTTATATTGATACAGGGCATTCAAGATCTTATGCAACAGAAAAAAATTGTACTGGAAAAAGCGAATGAATTCATTATTTGGAAAGAGACATTATTAGGAAAATTAAGTCATATTGAATTTCAATTTGATGCTAATCAAGCTAATATAACCTTAATAGATTATGTGGATAAATGTTCAGAAGAAGTTGAACTCTGGAAACAAAATATAGACTCAATTGAAAATTTATTGCAACAAAGTAAAACTACTATTCCCGGATCATCAATTGCAGACCAATTTAAAGAAGTAGAACTGAAATTGGTTAACATTCAGTAAGTAAAATTAAAAATTATTCTATGGTAACCTATATATTTATATATATTTTAATGGTCACTAAAACTACGGGTATTATTTTGTTTTAGCATGATCAATAGGTTATTGAATACTATTAAAAATTATAATATTTCCCTCATCGAAATTATATTTCATTATTGTTTTATACCATATAATAAATATACATGTATAGTATATGGTATATACCATATATATATAGAATTTAAAACTAATTGTATATACCGAATATAATATAATAATGCATATTGAATAATATATCGAATTAAGTTTACTACGATATTCATAATGAACACAATTTTAAGTTTTAATAATGTAGGTACTTTTAAATTAATTTTTGAGTGTCGAAAGTATATACGTATAATTTTTATAGAGCGTTTTCAACACTTCAATAGACAATTATATTTTTAAATGTTATTAGAAATTGTTGTTAGTAGAGACTTACAATTGTGCATAAATAAAATGTTACACTTTTTATATGACAGGAAAAATCATTTTGCATACAATTTAATTTTACATAAAATATATTTATTATTCATTTTTATATTTTTAGAGAAAAACTTAAAAAAAAAGAAGAAAACGAACATAAAATAAAGAACTGTCAAAAAGTTATCAATAAAATGAATGATGATTTGGTTAAACGAATTAAAATGATAGGAAGTAAAATTGATAACCACAAATCTTCTGCGAAATCATTAAATGATATCAATGTTATCCTTCCAAAAATACAAGAATTAACTGAAACAAATGAATTAATTGAACAACTTAAAAATTTGGAAGAGGAAGGTGCAATTTTAATTCAGCTCGACAAAAGTAAATCGATATTTGTTAAGAATATTTTACTAGAAGTAAATACCGATTTGGCTAATTTAAACACTGCAGCTGAACACGAAATAACAAGTTTAAAAGAAATTAACGACAATTGGTTAAAAATCAATGATATTCAAAATAAAATAAAATCCACTAAAGAAGAGTGGAAAGTTATATTAGAGTCAATAGAGTCACCGAATGATTTAACTGAAGCTCAAGCAGTAGAAGAAAAATACAATAAAGCTCTAAAACAAAGTACAGCTATAATCGATGTTTTACCTGTAACGGAAGAGTCCCTTCAAAAGTTGATGATATTGGCAGAAAACTATCCAAAACTAAATGTTAAAAAAATTAATCAAAATTATAAAAATGACGTAGAGAGTTGGGAAAAATTTCACAAGGAAATTAAAAAGAACGCTGAAATTGCACATTCTCAACAAGTAATTTGGAAACAAGTGAACCAGGCTAAAGATAGTATTTTGCAATGGCTATCAGATGTCAACATTGAGCTTTTAGATTGCACCTCTAATTTCGATGATATCGAAAAAATTAAAAGCAAACTTTTTAAATATTCAGAAGAAAAAGATATTAATTTAGCGTTAAAAAACAATCTTGTTGAAAAAATTAATAAGTTACAAAAACTAAATGGAGGTAGGCCAATCCTAACATTAGATTCATTGTGTGCATTGATGGATGACCAATTTACTGGTGTTGAAAGTATAGCTTGCAATTTAGTGGGTCTTGTTAGTGAGTTTTCTCAACAAGAAGAAGCAATAAGATTTGAAATAAAAAAACGCACTTCTGAAATTAATCAAATACGTGAAAACGTTATCAAGTGTGATAATCTGAATAATGAACTAGATGCATTGTTGATCAATTTAAAATCTTGTCAAAAATGTAAAAATGAACTAATAAAAATGAATTTAAATATAGATGCCGTTAACCATTCAGTATCAGAGATGACCGAAACTTACCCAATTATTTCTGAATCTACAATAATTAAAGAACTAAAAAGCCTTAAAAAACGATATGAAAGTGTTGTACAACAGGTTGACAAAGTAGAAACTACATTAATGACATATTTAAAAAAACATTTAGAAGATGATTTGACCAACCTTTTACATTCAATTAAAAGTGCTGATGAAAAGTTAACATGGTGTAAACCAGAAGAAGAAATCGAAAAAGAACAAATAGAAATCAAACTTCGTTCTGTTGAAGACATTAAAGGAAACTTGAAAACAATTAAGGAACAAAAATTTAAAATAGATTATGTTTTAGATTATCTTAATCAATATTCTTCGGCGGATCTGAGTTTAGACAAAATAAGTAATAATAATGAATTATTAAGCGTAAAAATTGAAAATACTGAAAAAGAAATTAAGGAACGAGAAACGACACTTGCAAAAATCATAAATATGTGGGTTGAATATCAAATTGTTTTGGATGATATTATTCCATCGGTTAATATCTTAGATAATGATGTAAAAACATCTGTAGACATTTCTATTGATATGAACTCTATAAATATTGCGGAAGAAAATATAAATAAATACAAAATAAAAGTAAATGAGGCTAATCAACTTTTGAATAAACTTGTACATTGTGTTGAAAATATAAAAATATTTCACAGTAAATCAACATTAGAAAATCAAGCGATAAAAATTAAACGAAAATTGGAATCGTACCAGAATAGTATTGATAAATGCCTTGATAGAATAAATCGTTTAAAAGAAATGAAAAAAGAATTTAATACTTCGTATGAAAAAGCTATTGCTTTTATAAAAGAATTAAATAGTAAATTAAAATCGATTGAAACTGCTCAGAATGCAGGAAAAGCATCTATTCAGAATGCTCAATCGGATTTAGCGACATTGAAAAATCTAAATAAACAACTTGAAGAAAATCAACAATTAATAAATGATACTATTTCAAAAGGTGAATGTATGTATCCAGATATAACAATGGAAAATCGCGAAGAAATAAGATCAAAAGTTAAACAATTAAGATTGGACTGTGAAAATTTTAACGATGAATGTGGAAATATTACGAAAAACATTGAAAACGCCTTAGTACAAAAATCATCTTTTAATGAAAGTTTTAATCAAATTCAGAATTGTCTTCATGAAATGGAAGAAAAATTTATCGACTTAAAAAAAGCAAAACGAAATAATATTATGGATAAGGGAACCAATTGTAACAATTTAAAAACATTAAAACAAGATCTTATTGCTTATAAGGATGTAATTGATCAATTGAAAGAAAAAGTAACACAATTAAATGAACCAGATGCTAATACAAAACTTCAAGATATATTAAAAAAATATACAAGTATTTCATCGGATGTGAATAAACGTTTAAAACTAAATGAGTCTCACTTAAAAAATCACGAGTTGTATTTAGAAAACGTAGAATCATTCAAAAATTATCTTAAAATATTACAAGATGAGTATTCAGTTGCAATTGATAATCATTCAGAAACAAATACAGATGTTTTTATGAATATAATCAATCAAAAAGCTGATGGTGAAATTTTATTAGAAAAATGTTGCAACATTGGAGGTATAGTATTGAAAGAAACTGATGCTAATGGTAAATCTACAGTTCAGGATGAACTCAATAAACAAAAAACGAATTGGAAAAGTTTGATATTAAATTGTGAAAATACATTAAAAATGTTAAATCAAAAACAAAATCAGTATGATGAAGTTTTAACTAAAATAGAAAATTTAGATAAATATTTAAAATCAATTGAGACTCAAATAAAAGAAAGAAGTTTAAAAAATTCGTCAGCAAGTAAACAACAATATTTAGAAAAACTTAAACTTTTAGACGAAGATATCACGAAAAAACATAAAGAAATTTTGGAAATACAATCTGATATTGTAGAAGTTTCACCTGATGTTAATAATGCAATTACTAATTTAATGAAAACGTATCAAAATGTTAAGACCAGAACAAAGGTAATAATAGACTTAACAATTAATATAACGTAATATTCGATAGTATAATTTAATTTAAATTTATTTTAGGAATCAATTTTAAAGTATGAAAACTTTGTACGAGAACACCAGCATTTTGATTTGAGTTATAAAGAGTTTCTTGAATTAGTTAAAAGTTTAGCAGAGGAACTAAAACAACACAGTGAAGTTGTTGGTGATTTAGGACTCTTACAAGTAAATAATAAAGAACTTATATTAATTATTGCAATTAATTGAAATATGATATATATTTTTATTCATTTAGGAAAGACAAAAAAAACTACTTGCATTATCAGATTCAAAGTGTCAACAAAGTGTGCAATATGAATCTCTAGTAAATATGGCAGAAAAGCTATATGCTCAAACTTCTCCTGATGGAAGAGAAATCATTCGACAACATATGAAGTAAACGATTATTTAAATTATAAGTTTCGTATATTCATTATATTTTATTTTAGGGATTTAAGAATTGCATGGGAGTCAGTTTCTGAAAATTTGCAATGTAGTCTCAGTAAACTTGATAATTGCTTAATGCAGTTCGCAGAATTTTCGTTATCTCAAGAACAGTTAACCAAATGGCTAAAAAATATTGAGCAAGCAATGCAACAACACACTGAAACAAAAGCAACTTTACAAGAAAAAAGAGCTCAACTTCAGGTAAATATTTAATCTATTGTATATTATCTATACTTATTAATATGTTTTGATTATAATATCATTTGTACTAGAATCATGTTGTTATAAACCAAGAAATAATGTCTCATCAAACACTTGTACAATCAGTATGTGACAAAGCTCAAGAACTTGTAAATCAAACTAAAGACAACACATTAAACACGTATTTGGAATCCATTAAAAGCCTTTATGAAAAAATTGTTACAAAATCTAAGGTGAGTTAATATTTTTGCGTCAATAATTAGGTTTGATTATTCAGTTTTCTTAATTAAATTTACTAATTTATAATAGGAGTTAATGGATTCATTAGATCTATCTGTACAAAATCATTCTGAATTTAACCAAATCTGTCAGAAACTTAAATTAATGTTGAAAGAACAACGTAATAAAATAAGAGAAAATAACAATATTTCCGCTGAAAAAGACGTGATTATTAAAAGAATCACAATACTCAAAGTTAGCATGAATTCAAATGTACCTATAAATAGTTTACTTACAAATAATTGTATTTCTATTTATAACTTAAGGAAATGAAAACAGCAAGTATAGCTGAAAGAAATTTGCGAAATCACCTAGAAGAAGTATTTAAATTAGTAAGCAAAACTACAACGAAAAAAGGAGTTAATTTTATGACAAAAGAAATATCAAAAATAGATAATGATAAAGCACAATTAATTGTAGAAATTGGTTAGTAGTATAAAGAAATTTTAAATTAATATTTTTAATTAATTTTGAGAGTATTTTTAGATAATATCATTGAAAAAATGGAAGAAATAATTATTCAATGGACAGACTTTGAAAACGAATTTGATGAAATAACAACTTGGTTTAGATTAATTGAATCGTTTATGAAAGATCAACAATTGCAATCAACATTCGACAGCAAAGAAAATAAATTAAATCTTTTTGCGGAAAAACGTAATAAAATATTAAATTATGAACCCAAAATAGAGAAATTCACTGATAACTCTAATAATTTATTGCACACAAGTGGAGTAGAACGTTTAAAACCACTTATACTCCAAGTTGGAAATCGGTGAGTCAGTCAGTTACAAGAATCAAATTAATTATATCAAATTAATAATATATATATATATATATACGACTCTCGATAGTTCGAAGTTGACGGGACTGTTGAAAAATTTCGATTTACCGAGAGTTCGAATTGTTGATTAATTCAAAAAAATTAGAGAGCAAAAAAAAATTCAAATTAACGAGTTAAGAGAAAAAAATTTTTTTTATTATTATACATAATTATTAATTATTTATTGTTTTTAAAATGTAAATTTTAACTACATAATAGCATAATAATTATACTATGTAAATTAAATTATTATTATAAAAAAAAATATTATTTTTTAAAGAAATCTGTCATGGTTTTCTGCTTCATTGAATTTAGTTTCATTTTTTCAATAGTATTTTTTGAATTTGACGCATTCATCATAAGAACTGTACAACCGACCAAACGAAACTAAAATAAAACTTCATTCGGCTGACGGCTATCGAAGAGATAAATTACAATTAGTGACGCTTAAGAAATAAAATGATTGAGTTCTTACAATATTAATTTTATAGTTATCAAAAATAATATACTAAATGTCTATATGATTGTATAGTAAATTAATAACCAAAAGTTTATATGAATCCAGATAAAATAAATTTGCTGAATATACTGTGAATTGTTGAGCGTTGAACGGATGATACTACGAATTGTCACGTGTCAGTTGCAAGTTTTCCCAAAATTTAATTTCGAATTACTGAGTGTACTTAAATGCATTATTTTTATTCAAATTACTGCGTGATTATCAAGATGATTATCATACTTTGATTTACTGAATGTTTTGAATTATTGAGAGTCGACTGTGTATATATATATATATATCTGTATACTATATAAAATAGATATATATGGTATATCTTCTATATATAATATTTAAATTTGCATGCACATTTTATTTTGAATTATATTTTTACTATAGGTATCAATTAATTCTAGTGCTTAGTAAAGAAATGGTAGCCAAATGGCAAAATATTTCTGATGAGCACAAGAATTTTAATAATAAATTAGCTGAATTCAAATTACGGTTAGAAACTTTGGAAAGCAAACCAGTCCAAATTTTGAATGACGATGACTTAGATTCAAACAAAAAATTATCACAATTGCAAGCAATTTATGGGAATTCTGATCAAACATCAGGAAAGATATCATTATTAACATCTCTGGGGGAAAGCTTATTCCCTGATACATCTGCTGCTGGACGAGAAACCATTCGTGAACAGCTTAAAGAAATTCGAGATAGGTATGGATAATGAACAAAAATGATAGTAAATTTTATAACATTAACATTTTATAACATTATAACCTTTTATAACATAAATACTTCAATAGATGGGATGCACTGGACGAACAAATTAAAACAGCCCAAAAGGCTCTGGGAATACAATCACAACAATGGAATAGTTATCAAGAAACTCTTTTACAGACCATTAATTGGTTGGATAGTATTGAAAAAGCAATTGCATCAAACCAATCACCTACATGGTCATCTCCACAAGAAATAAGATCAAAACTTCTAAAGCAAAAAGTAATTATAAAAAAATAAAATTTTACACGAAAATACATCTCTTAGATAACTAATTAAGTTTCTATTTTAAAAAATATTTTTAATTACTTTCCAGGCAACAATGCAAGAAATAAATTCTCATAGTAGAATGATTGAAACCATAATGGAGAAAGGAAAAATTATAAAGAAGCCTAAAGATAAAATTGATTTAGAATTATCGTTAAAAGATAGATATGATTTATTACGTGAAAAAATGAATAATTCTATTACTCAACTAGAAAACTATTTAGAGACTTATCAGCAGTACCAAGATTTACATAAATCATACCAAGATACTCAAAAACAGCTATGGGATCAACTTTCAACTTATACAGGTACATTGTGGATGTCTATATGTGTCCGTCAATATAGATCAAGTTTTAAATTATAATAATAATTACAGTAAAAATATTATTATTTTTTATAGTTCTAATAAAAATATTGAATTTTATAGATTATTCGGGAAATAAACAAATTTTAGAATCAAGATTAAATAAAGTAAATGTTATACAAACTACGTTTGATAATAACAAAATAACATTATTGACAATGGAACGATTTGTTGAAAATTCGAAGAATACGATTCCACAAAAAGCAGTTGATATTATGATAAGGGATCATACAAATTTACAGTACGTATATTTAATGTATTAATAATTAATGGTTATTTAAATAGATTAAGGTAAAGTCCGAGAAGTTATGTGGACGATTTGGGATACTATCAATAAGTTTATTATGGAAACATATATAAAATTAAAATTAAAAAAAGACAAATCAAAGAAGAGATTGTTTAATATAATTAGAAATTATCACAGATTATGGGTATATTATTAGCGACTAAAACATTCGAGAAATTAGAGTGGATGATATTGAGTAACTAAGACAGTACCTATAAGATGATGAAGACAAAAATTGTAAAATAAATAAGAAAATTATTAGTTTAATTATTAATATAATTACAGATTTGAACAAGAAAAATTTCAATCATTGTTAAATGATTTATTAGAAGGTTTAAAAAGTAGAATAGATCAATGGGTGGAATTTGAAAATTTAATGAATCAGTTAATTACATGGCATAACGATACAGAAAAAAAATTGCAAAATTATTCGGAAAAGGCTACGCTTGAAGAAAAAACTCAGCAATACAATAAATTCCAGGTAATTATTCAATAAATGCTTAACATCTGTGTTTAAAAAAAAACCAATAATACATTATACTCAAGAATATTTGAATTTAAAATAGAGAAACAATTTTAAGTATCGTAACTATCAGTTAGGTAACCAATATTAAGAGGGACTTAAGATAAATATTGGCTTATTAAGAATTTCAAATTGTGATTCGACTATTATTTAAACATGGCACAAAATGTTTTACAGAGACAAAAATTAAAATTTATAATAATATAAAAATATAAATTATAAATTATTTCCTTAGTAATTTATATTTTTTTTTTTTTTGTCAAAATAAAAAATAAAGTTATTTCTGTATTCTAATAAATATAATATAATTTTATAGTTATAAAACTTCCGCCTCCGAAACCAATAACAATGTGATAAACGATGCATGAATAATTTAACTTCACTCATTTTATGCTTGTATTTGTATCTATAGTTTATAAATTATTTTGGAAAATGTATTTGCACCACAAAAAAATACTAATACTACCAATATGTTTTTTATTAATAATTTTATTTCTAAAAGAAAAACATAGTTTCTCTTTCTTGCTTTTGTATAAATTATAAATGTATCATTATAAATAAATTCTAACCATATTTGTCAACTATTCACCTCCTTGCACGTTACATAATTATGAAATAAAATAAAATGTATTAAAATTATCTAGTCATATTAGGTATTTTTATAATGATATTAAAACTAATTATTTAAATATAGGTCTTGTTATGTAAATATATATAAATCTGAATAAAAATAATACATTTTTACATTTTTAAATATTACGATAAATGTAATAAATATCAAATAAATTAAATATTTATTATTACATATAAGTATTATACAATATGGATCTTTTAAACTTCATCTAGGACTTAGAAAAAGAAATTAAAGGAAAATCTAACTCTGTGAAAGATTTAATTGCATTTGGTGATCATCTTCAACAAGTAAGACACATTCAGAAAAATGAATATTGCATGAACTGTGTTATTAACATTATTATTAAGTCAAATACGTTTTAATATATTAAATAACTATTTAAAACACTCAAGTTTTCATTATTTTAACATAAAATAAATAAGCTTTTGAAACTATCACAATACTAAAGTTAATTTTATTACTTTATAATATTTTATAACAATTATTATACAGTCATTATTGGAAGATATGAAAAAAAATGATTTAGGCGTGGACAAACTTATAGATCAATCTAGCGAGTACGAGTCAACTGGAGAAGCACGTTTGTCAACGAGAGTAAAACAAATATCATCTCGCTATCAGTCAATGCAAACTACGATCAAGGTATTATTGATGCAATATTTTTTAATTGTTAATATTCAATACAAATAATATTTTATACCAACTATAGGACATTTTAAACAAATGTAACGAATCAATAAAAATTCATCAAGATTATGTTGATAAGTACAACGAATGTTCAATTCAACTTTCGAATGTTCAGAATCAATTTAAAAATGTAAATGAACTCCATCCATCGTCACAAGCTGTGCATCAATATTTAATCCAGAAAAATGGAAAACTTAATGAGTTATTAGATACAAAGCCAAATGTCTCATCATTATTAAATAGCTGCATCGAATTAGGAGAAAAATTGTATTTGAGCACATCTACATCTGGAAGAGATAATATCAAACTTCAGTTGGAAGAGCTTCAAACAGTATTTGATACTTTATACGATGATATTTTGAACATCAATAGAGAAGTTAAAGATCAATTAACTAAATGGGGTGGATTTGAAGAACTATATAATGAATTAAATCAATGGCTAAATAACACCAAACAAGTATTAAATAAAGATTTATTACTCAAATCAACGTTGGACGAGAAAAAAATGCAGTTACAAATTTATAGAGATATGCTCCAAGCTGCGTTGAAAAAAAAACAAGATATTGTGAAACTACAGGATCTTATTGGAAGAATGCAGATGCAAGAAAACAATGATATACTTTTGATTTCTATAAGTAAACAACATGATGACATTTTAAAACAAATTCAAAATTTTGTTGATAAATACGAGGCAATTGTAAAAGATCACGAACAATATACAAAATCTGTAATGGAAATGCAAGAATGGCTTGATGCCACGCACAACACACTAATGCTCTGGGGTGACATAAACTTAGAAAAAATTTCTTTGTTGAGTAATCTGGATCGAATAAAGGTAGATAGGTAGATTTTTGTATAATATAATAAATTATATTTTATCTTGTTCTTTAGAATTTGCTGTTGAGCCTTACAGAAGAAGAAAATAGAATACACAATATACAGAAACTAGCAGAAAAAGTGATTCCTGGTACAGTTGAAAATGGCCAAATAAACATTAGGGCGCAAATTGATTCATCACAACAAGACTGGGAAGGGCTTGTAACAACTGTTAAGTAAGTGTATTTTTCAATAAGAACGCTAAATGACAATTATACATTATAAATATAAAATTAAAAATGATTAATTTGTCTGAATATAAATGATATATTCTGTAAATTCTATAATGCTAGAATTTATTTCAATTGGAATGAATTGTATTAATCCAAGATAGCATTGTAAATCGTGACCCATTTAAGTAAAATTAATACAAACAAGTCTAACATAACAGAAGAACTTGGGTCTTCTTTATTAACGATAATAAAAACACAGAAAAATTAATTAGAATAGAAAAATATACATTTCTTTATTAAGATTGTTTTAAGCATTCAAATGTCAAATTTATAGTACTTTATGTATCGTTTGTTTTTATTCATTTTTCATACAAATCACATATGATAAATATAATTTAAAAAATTATTCTTTTTATTGTTTAATAACAGCATGAAAACTAAAAATAATTACTGCAGCTGAAAGTGTAACTATAAAATTATACAGATAATAAATGTATACAGTTGATACGAAACATTAAAATAAATATATAATATCATTTAATTTTATTAAAGTTTAAATAAATAAAACAATACAATTGACAGGTCAATTAAAATACCTATTGAATCTCAATAAAAGAGTTATCTCAAAATGTTGATCAGCTAGGTATTAAATTACTTCTCTTATTCAATAATATTAAATAATATCTATTTTATTTAATAATATCATAGATTATGGAATAATTCTAGTAATAATAAAATACAATAATTATAAAGAATTATTTAATCAATAATAATATGTCCCTATTTTTGTAATATAGATTTAGGGCCACTTTTCATGATAATGGTATAATGTAATTTATGGGTGGCGTGGCTATTTTTACTCAATAGTCTTAAGACGGTTGAGTACTTTTCCCGGGACCGGTGGGACCCCAATTAATAGTTAATACCCTAATAAATATTATGGTCTCATCTGAAACTTCTTCGACATTTTAATTTTATTTTTTTTTCAAATTCCATGAACTTGTTATCAAATGCGGTATTTTACAAAAATATTTTTCTGGTCTTGAAAATCAAAATTAACTTTAATTGGGATAGATGAAAAAATAATACCTTAATTTCAAGTAAATTTGTAAAGAAATGCGTTAAGTTAATTTATCAGTAATTTAATAAGTTAAGTTAATAATTTAAATTAAGTTAACTTTTAACTTATTAACTCGTTAATGCCCTGGCTTGGTATTTACAATAATACAAAAAATGTTTTCAAAATTCAAAAAATCAAAAACTGTTAAGTATTTTAGATTACTTTTTAGCAATTAAATTATGCCTATTGAAACAATCATAATAAATATTCATATATTTTTACTAGATATATAATATTCTAAAAGTAATTATAACAAAATATAATCTATAACAATAACATTATTTATTATTCAAAAAAATGCATTATTCTATAACTATATTATAAATGAGTTGATTATAATCATTATAATATAATTATGGTTTTTAGTATTATGCTTTCTATACCTAACATACATTAATGAATTTAATGAATTTAAAAAAATTATCCATACCCCTTGTCAGTCCCGTATTTAAAAATTTGGCATCCCCAGGCATATAATTTATGCCCCCTCCCTAAAAAAATAAATAATAATAATATAACACTTATTATTTCGTTCATAATCGAAATTCTTTAATATTAAAATATAACTTATAAATAAAAATCGTTTAATATCATAGTTTTTTTAATTAACAAATTTAACAAATTATAACATAATAAAACATACTATTTCCTTTTTTTTATTGTTTTATTTATTTTTTTCATTAGGTACATCATTTCTAAAATTAATTTTGCTAAAATTTTTTGCCGTCCCTGAGATTTGACGCTCCCGGGCATGTCTTTACCCGTGCCTCCCTAAATACGGGCCTACCCTTTGTATAAATATAATGATGTACAAACAAAATATACAGATATTAGTTATAGTATAACACATAATTGGAAGTTTACAAATATTCAGTGGCGCTTTTTAAAATTATTTTTGGGATGAGAGGGGTTAAAGTTTTTTTTACAAAATACGTGATTTTATAATTTTATAAAAAATACATATGAGGTATAAATTAAAAATTATAATATTTTATTATTATTATAAATACAAAGGGAGATTTTTTTACAACCACATGATATAAATGAATGTTTTATTTCTCCGGTGAAACACGATTGCGCCTGTAATACCTTTTTACACGAAAAAAACGATTGCGCCCAGCTAAATAGCTCGATAGCACCCGAATTTACCTCTTTACCTGTAAAAAACGCAATACGATTGCGCCCAGCAAATCAGCTCGATAGCACTCCGTGAAATATAAGGTCTTGTCTTTCTAACAATTTCCTAATATACTATTTAAAAATACCGTCGGAGTGTAAAACTCAAAGTTTAAGTTAGGTTAGATTATCATTTTAACAATTTTCCATCGAGTATTTACGTTGACAAAGATGTGACAAAAGTTCTTAGCGTGCATGAACATAACTTAATGAACATAATCACAACATAATTTCAGAAAACATAGAAGGTAAACAAATAATAAATTCCAAAATAAGAAAAAAATGTGAAAACGACTTATTTACGAGACCGAATAAAATAATTAGACAAGTACTACGTAGCACAAATATTTGTCAGTCCTAAGCCTGTAAAATTGGGAAGGAAAATTATTAAAATGATAATCTAACCTAACTTAAACTTTGAGTCTTACACTCCAACTATATTTTTTAATAGTATATTTGAAAAGTGTTAGAAAGGCAAGACCTTATATTTCACGGAGCACTTTCGAGCTACTTTGCTAGGCGCAATCGTGTTGCGTTTTTGCTGGTTAGGTAAAACCTGGTGCTATCGAGCTAATTAGCTGGGTGCAATCGTATTGTGTTTTTTTCATGTAAAAAGGTAGGACGGGCGCAATCGTGTTACAGCCCTATTTCTCGGTATCTTCGTAGCAAGTCCTTAAGACTGTTGAACGATTTTTTTTTCTGGGCGAGACTCAAGAATCCTCTCCGTCACCCGAAAATAAATCAACGTATACAATGGATCTTACAATTTCATTTGAGAGACGATCCTTTCTATTCTATATCTATTTTCTAAAAAACTATTTAATACGAAACGTAAATATACATAAAGAAATTCTCGACATTTTTTTATCCTATTATGGAGAATACAGTTGTCCACTCGGGTTACAATAATTTAATATTTATCGTCTTTTGTATGCAATATTTAATTAACATTGTATAGCATAAACTTTTATATATTATAAGTTAACATAGTAATGAATGATTTAATTAATTTAAGTTTTTTTTTCAATATTTGTAAGTATTTGTATAAATATTCAGATTAATTTATAACAAAAAAATACTGGTGCTTATTTATTTGATAGAAAAAATCAATCATATTTATAGATCATCAATAGAAGCTTTAGAAAACAAACTCAATAGTTGGAATGAATTTGATACACTCAAGGAATCATGTTTAACATGGTTACGAGAAACGGATTATAAAATACATGCTATTGATTTAAAAAATTCATTGGAAGAAAAGAAATCTCAGTTTGAAGAACTAAAGGTAATATGCGTAAAATTACATTACATAGTAAATGTTGGATTCCTCCCCAGTTTAAATTTTTTTTATACTTTTATGCATATTCTATTGAAAAACTATATTTATAGGAATTACAAGGAGTGATACGAGCAAAAGAATTTGAAATTGACTCAATCACAGACAAATCTCAAAATTTATATACGGTATCAATGTCTAGTAAAAATTCTCAGGTTACAGAAATCGTTCAAAAATTCCATCAACTTTCAATGAAAATAAAAGTGAGTAATATCAATAAATAATGTAATTAATTTAAATAATATCCATTAATCTACTATAAAAAAAAATGTTTGATAAAATTATAAAAATAATTTACAGGAATTGGTTGGAAAATGGCAACAATTTGTAAACAACCATTTAGAATTTGAAAGTAGTCTAAGTGAAGCCATTATATGGTTGGACACTGTTGATGATAAATTAACAAGTTGTACAGATTTTAAATCCACTAGTAAAGCTGATTTAGAAGAAAAACTTATTGTTATCCAAGTAAAATCATTAATTTACATCCAATAGTTAAATTTAGTTATTTAAAAAAACATATTAAACAAATATAAATACGATTATGTATATATATTTATAAATTATATTTTTTAGGATATATTTTTGTATAAAGATGATGGGTTTAGTAAAGTACAAAATTGCATTGAAATAGGACAGATAGTTTTAGCAAACACTGCACCTGAAGGCCACAAGCCAATAAATGAATCATTAATATCTCTACAAGAACATTGGAGTAGTTTAGCAACAAAAATGATCGAGACCAAGGTATATTCAAAATGTTATCTAAATATACTCTAAATAAATTATTCGCTTTAAATACTTTATATTTGTAAGCTTTTAATTAATTTTACACAATTTATTAATTGAAATTACAGACAAATATCGATGAATCAATCCAACGATGGTCAGGATTTTTAGAACATGTAAAACAAGTAGGAAAAATAATAGACAAATTAGAGGAAGCATTGCCCGAATTAGAAGAATTTCAAGGCACTATGTCTGAAAAAAGGGATCAATTAGAGAAATTAAAAGTAAATCAATTTTGTATACAATTCAATTTAAATTTTATAATAATCTTTATTTCATATGGTAAACAACAAATACAAAATAATAGTAGTTATTATTTTATTATTGTTATTTTATTCTAGTTTATTGCTGCAAAAAATATTTTTAAAAATAATCCATATTGATCCAAACTTATTTATTTTTGATTGTATTTCTACTCTAATTCTTCAATAAACTGAAATATAAATTTAAAAAAAAAACCATTAATAATCACTTAGGATTAAAATAAATAGTACATATTTAACTTTATTAGTTTGTTTAATAATTTCATTCATTGTTGAATGAAAAAATATAAAAATAATAAATAATAATAATTTTAGATATAATTTTATATATAGACTATATGTATATGTATTATAATTTATATATATGTTACATTGTAATATGTATTTTATATTTCCTTTTTGGGAGATTTTTTCATGTTTGATGGTCTCTACATAATTTCACTTTTTCCAGTCATAAAATTTTTCATTTTCTAAACTAATTTTCATAATATATGATTATTTTTTATTATAGAATTTAGATGAAAAAATACGTTGTGAAAAATTAGAGATAGATTCTTTGAAATCAAAAGCACATGAGATGCTTAAAAAGGGTCATCAGAGCAATGCTGTTGCAGAAACACAAGAAGTGTTTAATAAGTTTGATAATATTTCAAATAAAGTCAAAGTAAATATTTAAGCTTAATTAGTAATTTTTAGTTATATTATTTATTATTTTATTTATTTGTTAGAAATTACTGAATCAACGCGAGCAACAATATAAAGATCATAAGACATATAAGGAAGCGTACGAAGAGTTATCTAACTTTTTAAACAGATCCCGGGATAAAATACCATCATTAAAAGAACGACCACTCAGTGATAAATTAGCAATTGAAAATGCAATAACTCCACTAGAATCACTTTTAAATAAAAGAGCTCAAGGTGAATTACTTTTGGATAATTTGAATACAATTGGAGGTATTATAATTGCAAGTACCTCTGAAAACGGAGAGAAAATAATTAAAAAAGAAATATCGTCCATAGCTGAAGAATTGAACAAATTATTTGATGGTAAATTAAAATTATACATGTCAACAGATTTGAATTATTTATTTTTTTTTTTTTGCTTAGATATATCAGCTCAAAAAGATAATTTGCATGCTATTCATACACACTGGAGGGAGTATAAAGATGAATATGAAAAACTATCTGACTGGTTACAACAAATAGATATATCGATGAAAGCTATCAAGAATACTCCATTAGCAACTGTACTAGAAAAAACCGATCAAGTGAAACAAATTCAGGTATAATTTTTAGAATTTTTTTAACATTTACATAATATACAACAATACATATATAATACACAATATAATACATAATATAGTTTTTAATTTATTTTCTATGATTCATCTCAATTTCCATTACTACTATATACGTTTTATACACATCATAATAATAATTTTAAATGTTGGTATGAAATCAATTTGATACGAATTCAAAGACTATACATTGATATAAATTAGTATAATTTATAAAAAATATGAATGAATCATGAAATATGAAAAAAAAACTCTTTGTAATATAAGCATTTTATTTTTAGGATGTGTTAGATAACTTAGAAAAAGGCAAATCCAATATTGATAAATTTAATGAAAGTTCGGGTCCACTATTAAAGTCTCACCTTGAAACTTACGTCAACAATCAGCTTAGACATCTAAACTCTCGTTATGAAGTAAGACTTAAAGAACTATTTTAATCATAAAAAATCATTTAGTTATGCCATAAAAATAAAAAATTGTAGGTTCAAGTGAATTTAGCAAAGGATGTTCAAAGGAAAGTAGAAACTAATCTCGAGCATCATTTGCAATACGAAAACTATTTAGAAAAAGCTAAAACTTGGATAAATGACGCAAAAGAACTAATCAGATATGGAAATGAATCAACAGCTAATACAAGCAAAGAAGATTTACAAGCTCGTCTTGATAAAATATTGGTAAACATCAATAAGATTTAGTGATAAAGGAAAGTATTTTTTAAATAACAAAATATTATAGGAACTATTAAAATCGCAAGAAGAAGGTCAATTAATTATCCACTCTACAGTGAATTCTGGTGAAAAAGTTCTTAGAAGTACTAGATCTGATGGAAAAGATCTGATAAACAAACAACTAAAAGAAATTCAAATGGACTGGGATAGACTTGTGAAAAAAATAGCAACATCTAAAGTTCATATTGAAACAAGCCTTTTACAATGGGCTGACTATAATTCATCATATTCACACTTGGAACAATGGATTACTGATCGCGAAGCTAAATTGGAAGAAGTTTGCGAACTAAAGGTAAAAAATATTGTTCCAAATAATAATTTTAATAGAAAAATTCAAAATAAATATTGATCTTGCATACTTACTATAATTTTACAATGGTCTATATTATTATAATATTTCATTATCTAAATTGAAATTCGTTCATTTAGAAAATGGATAGTGATCGTATAATATTTCCTTCTAATCCATAGTTTTGAAAATGAAAAACATTCCCTGGTATGAATTTAAATATGAAAGAAGAACAACAAATTTCTAACAGTTTTTAGTAAATATGATGTACAAAACCAAAATATCAACGATGCTCATCATAATGAGAATATGTAAATTATAATATTCTTTAAAATTATTTGTTGTTAGATATTTTATTTTATTTCATTTACATGTATATTGATTATTGTGGTATTCAATTTTTTTCTATTCGAATAGTTCCTAATATTTAAAAATACATGATATTCTTGTTCGTATAACTTAATCATTGTTAATTAGTCTATAAAAATATAAATATTATAATCACCACTATTCAATAAAATATTTTACATGCGTATTAAGGCTAACTTATTACTTGATTTATAATACAAATTTATTACATTATAGTTAATAGTTATCGTTTATCAGTAATTCAAAACAATTGTCTATTCTTACTAAAATAATACACTTTTATTAATAAAATTATTAACTACTACTAGGTAACAAAGTCCAAAAAAAACCAAGCTGGTATTGGGTCATTGAGTATTGGAGAACGAAAAGCGACATTACGTCGAACAAATAGCATTGTACAAGATATTGTTTCCTTTGAACCTATGATTCAAAAGGTGACGCTTAAAGCGGAAGACTTGCAACAAGCAGCACCTGCAAATGAAATATCGAATAAATATCATACATTAAGTATTAAAGCTAAAGATCTGTATGAGAAGCAGAAAGAAATTGTTAGATTACATCAAGAGTTTATTGATGCTGGAAATGATTTTGCTTCATGGCTACGATCGGTCAAAGAACGTGCAAGCAAAATATCTGAGCCAACAGGAGATAAAGAAATGTTGAGTGCTAAATCAGTCCAATTTAAGGTACCTACCAAAAATCATAGTTAATCTGATTATTTGCGCCATTAAAATGATTTGTTATATTATAGGTATTACAGAGTGAATTACCTGAAGGACAAAAAAAGTTAGAGGTAGCTCTCGAAAGGGCAGAGAAAGCTTGTTCGTTGGCCGATGAAGAAGAAAAAGAAATAATTGAACAAGAAGTAGTAATGCTACAAGAAGAATTTGATATACATAATGATACACTTCAAAAAACCAAAGCGTTATTAGAAGTAAATTAATTTTATTTTAAGAAAACTACAAATGATGATTATAAATTAAAATATTTTTAATTAATTATTTTCAATTTAAGGATGGGATTTATAAATGGAATGATTTTGATGATTATTCTAAAGTTGCAACAGAATGGTTGAATAATACTGAACAACTAGTACAATCATATAATAAATTACAGCCAAGTCTGGAAGGAAAAAAAGAAGCGTTAGAAGAATTTCAAACTCATTTACAAACATTGTTTGATTGGCAGAAGGAATTGGATATATTAAATGGAAAAGCTCAGGTATTTTAAGTTTAAGTCAACAAGCACACACTTAATGTGAAATGTTAAATGTTATTTTTAATGATTTTATATTTGTACATTATTTTTTATTTTAGGTTCTTTTGGAAACGTGTTCTGACACACGTTTGTCAAACTCGATAACTCAAATGACCACTAAGTACAATACATTGCTTTCTTTGGCAAAAGAGGTCATGCGACGTTTAGAATTACATTATCAAGAACATCAACAACATAATTCATTATACCAAGAGTGTATGGATTGGTTTGAAAGAACTCGAGATAAGGTAGTGTCATCAAAAAAACACTTAAAATAAATTATTAATTATAAATTGTTTTCAGTTAAATGAATGTGAAGAGATACCCAATAGCTTAAATGAAGTAAAAAGTAAATTGCAAAGCTTAAAAGTAATTAGACAAACACTTGAACAAGGTCAAAACCGATTAAGATACATAATGGAATTAAAAGAAAAAGTTGTACTTAGTACTGAGCCTCAAGGTACGATTAAGATCGAAGAAGATACTGAAAATTTAAGACAAGAGTTTGATAAACTTTCAAACAAAATTCAAGTAAGCGTAAAGTAGTAATTATTTTAGTACATTCGATTTAATATATTTTTTTACTTGAGTATTAAAATTTATGTAACTGTGCTTTGTAAAAGGTATGTAACAATAATTTAATACTGAGAGTATCACAGCTTGAAGAACTAGAGAAATGTATAAAAATACTTAATGAATGTTTGGATGATATCACCTCTAAAATCAATGGAAATGATCTAGAACAACCACTAAATGATTTAAGTGAAAAGAAAACGGCGTATGAAAAATTAAATTCCTTACTTCGAGAACTAAATACTCACAAAGATTTAGTACGTATTAATTAGTGTTTAATTGCATTATATGTATTTAGAATTGACAATGACGAGTATTTTACTATATGAATTATAATCACCACTTTCTTGATAGGTTAACCGTTTATCGACCAATAATGATGAGAAGTCTCCTTTACCTCAAGAATCAACTACTTGCATAACAAGATACAATAATATTACCGATTTGGTAAAACAAAAATTAGAATTATTAAGTTTAAATAAATTTATAATAATATTTAAATAATATTTATTTCTCTGACTAGATAAACAATAAATTATCAATCATGGGAAATCAAGTTACTGAACATGAAGCTTATAGAAATGCATTAATAAATGTAAATGATTGGTTGCGGAAAACAAGAGTTGCAGTTCAAGGCTGTGCTGATACACATGGCGATTGTAAAAATAATGCTTCTAAAATCACGCAGCTAAAAGCTATCGAAGAATCTTCTCAAAATGGAGAAGGAATGATTAAGGATATTTTAGGATTAATTGAATCCCTTAAAAATAGTACTGGACCAGAAGGTTGTGATAAGTTGAACCAAGATAAAAATCAATTGAACAATGATTGGGATGAGCTGAAACATTTTATTAAGGAAATTCAATCGGCATTAAGTAAATGTGCTAAGGCTTGGGATGATTTCAATATAGTATTTAATGCATTAAAAGATTGGGAAACTGATTTGACAAGAAAAGTAAACGCAGCTTCTTCTTCTAATGAAACATATACTCCGGATGATCTAGATCAGTATAAATTTTGGTTACAAGAAATCATTAATCAAAATGTCTCTATTGAAGAACTTACTGATCGATGTGAACTGTTGATGGAGTTAAGTGCTTGCAATTGGGTTAGGGATGATACACTTAAAATACAATCATCGTATACAACATTACTAACTACAACTCAAGGGTAAGTATTATTATTTGATAAATTTGTATTGATTATACAGTTATTTATTACATAGGTAATTAATTTTATTTGTCCTATTTCACAGACTTGTTTCTAAAGCAGAAAAAAATTTAACTGATCATACTGAATTTATTGCTGCAAAAGAAAAGGTTGAGGAATGGTTAAATCGCGCTCATGGTACAGTCCAAGATTGCATTGGTGAAGGTGATTTGGGTTGGGTTAAAGATAAACTGCAAACAGTAAACCTTGTATCTTCGAGAATAACAGAAGGTATTAATGAATAATTAAAAAGAGATTTAATTTTATGTTCTATCGTCTAAAGTAATTTAAAATTCTTTGTAATCATATCAAAATAATTTAACAAATTATGTATTTATTTTTTTAGGTCAATATTTAATGAACGGCATGCAAGAAGTGTTTACAAAAGCGTTAAACAATACATTAGCTGCAGAAAGAAATGCGTTAGTGGATGCAATGGAAGAATTAAACAATAGTTGGAACAGTTTAAACATTGATTTGAATTCGGTTATTGCTCATTTAAAATCTCTTCAAGCACGATGGGAAGAAAATAATGAAGCTAAAGAAAACCTCGAGAAATGGTTAAGCTCATTGGAATCTAAAATCTTAGAAAAACATGATTTTAAGGCTGATGTTGGTGAAATGAAAACACTTTTTGAAAGGTTAAATCATATGATAAATGAAATTGATGAAAAAGAAACTGATTTCAATCACGTTATATTCGAAACTGAAGAACTCTCGAAATTTTGTAAGAATAATCATTTGAACACTGACATTAAACAGTTGAAAACTAGAAAAAATATTCTCAAAGAAAAAACGTTGAAACGTAAAGATAGCTTGGAAAATGAAATATTGCAACACTCCAACTATTTGCAAGCACTTCAAGAGTCAGAAAAGTGGTTACTTCAAATATCGTTTCAACTTATGGCTCATAATTCATTATATATCACTAACAGAATACAGACTCAAGAACAAATAAAACATCACCAAGTCTTACTTAATGAAATAATACAGTAATATTTTATTGCAAAATATTTAAGAATAATCTAATTTAATTAATTTTTTTCTTTTCCATAGGTTTCAAGATGTGTTAGATGATTTAAAATCTAAAGGAAATGCGCAAATCAATCGTTATGCTTCATCTACTCCGTCAATCCAGTCAACAGTCGAACAGCAATTGAGTAACATTCAAGATAGTTATAATTCATTGTATAACACTGCTCAGCAAATAAAAGCTAGACTAGAAGAATCGCTATTGAAATTCAAACAATATGAAGATATGTTAGAAAGTATTTGGTCAAATTTAGATGATTATGAACCTCTTATGAACAAAAGCCTAGACGAAAATTGGTCACTTGAAGAATCCAAAGAAAAATTGACACTTTACCGGGTAAACTTTAATATAATATTAACTTTAACTGCAACAGGTTTTAAAGGACTTATTATTGTTTTTATTACAAACTCTAAAAGAAAAAATTTAAATTTAAATTTTTTAATACATTTTAATATCTGATGATGGCAACATTTTAACTTTTGCGTAATCACAAATTTTTTCACCAAATTAATTATAAAAATGTACATAAAAAAATAAACATGGAATAATAATACTAAAATCTAAGAATTATTATAAGTACTTAAGATACTTAAAATTATAAATACTAAATATTTTTAAATATCATATACATACATACTTTTCTTAACAATTTAAAATTAACACTTTCGTAATTTTACAATAGGTATTTTATAAAACTGAATTGATACAAAATACATTAAAAGTGTTTTCTTTTAAATACTTAAACTATTATTCATAATATCAGTTTAAATAATACTTACCATGAATATTATGACTAAATATAATATTTAAATTCTGAAAATATACTAAAACTCAAAATCATTAGTTGTTCTATTTTAGATTAAATATTTTTTAATTTTATAATTTAAGGATCTTTTGAATAAGTTACAAGGTGAAAAAACTAGATTAGCTTTAGCTGTACAAGCATGCGAGGCAGCAGTAGCTAGTATTTCAAGACCTAGTAGTCCTGTAGAATCCAACAACTCTCAGATTCCAGAACAAGAGATTGCCATTCGTTTACGCTTAGAAGAATATCTGGATCAGGTAAGATGTAAAATGAGTTAGATGTACTCGTATGATACATACATTCGTTATACAATGTAATTACTGTTTTTACTATTAACAAAATAAGTATTTAATTGTGTTTTGCCTGAACTATCACAACTTGTTTAGTTAATAAATAACTTATAATTGCACTAATGTTTTGTAATTTTGAATAACAAAGTAGTGTTATTTTTATGTTTTGTGCTATGTAGAAAATCAAACAGACTTCAGAACCATCTGTAGTGTTATTATCAATGCTTCAACACTTAGAAGATACCGGAATACCTAAACTACTAATCACATTTACTGACTATGTACGTAATTGTATAGTTTAATTAAAAAATATACACACACTACTTTCATATTACTCAATGGAATAATATTGTGTTGTAGGTTTTCATTAATAATTTATTATTTATTATCTATGTTCTGTTTGTTTTATATTTGTATGTTATAACTATTCAAAATAATTTTGAATAATATTTATAATTATTATAAATATGTTAAAATATAAAAACAAATATTAAAATTTATTTTTGAAATTTTAATTAATCTATAATACTTATTTTAGGTACAAAACTTTGTTGATGATTTGGTAAATATGATATCAGTTTTGGAAAACAAACATAACCAACGATCGAAAATATATGAATGGATCAAAGAAGAAATGAATATTTTGAAAAAAATTAAGGAAAAACCCATAAGGAATAATACGGAGGCAACTGCTCAAGAAATTATAAACTTAAATGAAATGCTACACAATATAAATGAAAAGAAAACTGAAATATCTGAATTAATATTAAATGACCCATCTGATAAACTTGTTAATGATTTAGATGAGTTCACTAACGAAGTAAGTTTATTATTTTATTAGAAACTTTAAACTAGTAAATTATACGTACCGATTTTATAAATAATAAAGGTTGACAAGCATTATTTTTAATGCACAGTTATATAAAAATAATTTTATGGTGAATTTGTATATAAATATGGTAAAAAAACGAATGTCAGAAAAAAACTACAATTTAATATTTAGAACCTCAAAAAAGTTTTATATGTTCTTTATAATTTTCAATCTATTAATTGAAATATATTTTTTTTACAGGTAAATGAATTACTTTTAAAAAAACAAACAAATCAAAATATATTGTTAATGTTCAAAAAAAGTGAAACTGAGTTACAAGTTTGGTTCGACAATTTATCCAAACGTATTGAATCCTTGGAAAAAGGCAGTGGAAATATTTGCCAACAAAAATTAAATTTATTTAATGATCTTAAAGAAGATTACATTAATAATGGGGAAAAACTTATAAATAACCTAAGAGTAAACTGTCAACATTTAAAAGAAGTAGTAAATACTTTAGATGGTCAATTACTGGATGATCAGGTAAATATTAAAAAATCAAATTTATTATAATAATATCAGTTAAATCAATTAAGCTATTGATGACTTACTGCAAGGTCTCGATAATCCGAACAAAATCGGAAAAAGGGGTCATTCGGATTATCTATTATCTTAATATAGTCATCAAGTTTATTGTAATTTAAATTATGAAATATATTTTTATCTGTATTAATCATGTAAAAACTCATAATTTATAAAGACAATGTATACAAACAATTATTATAATTGTATATGTGTGTATGTACAGATAATATTTATTACATAATATGAACCTTATTATTTAAAATATATTTTTACTGTTATTATGATACACGTACATATGTATTAATAAAGGGATGCGATATTTTTCAAGCTCGTTCGGATTACCGCGTATTTCGGATTATCCTGTGTTCGGTTTATCGAGACCCTACTGTATTTCCATATTTATGTTTAAATATCTATAATTACTGCAGTGGCGTAGCTACCCTTATCGTCAGGTCCCCGATACAAAATACATTTTTCGCCCTACCTAATATAAATTAGAGTCTTCGACTCATGTCATTAAAATATTGCAGTGACCAAATTTATGGTTTTTTTTTTTTTTATAAGATTATTTCAATCATATTTATATCACATTAAATATTTCATTAACAATTAATAATAATATAAAAATAATAATTTATATCATTAAATAAATAAATAAATTTATCTTATATTATAAAAAAAAATTTGGCTCCCTGAAGCAACTGTCTCTATTTTCCCCTATGGTAAATACGCCACTAGATTACCATAACATAAACAAGAAGTATTACTTTTTTATTACAGATTAAGTCAGCCGATCGACGTTATAAAGATTTCTGGACAAGAATGGAACGAAAACATGAAATCTTAGAAAATTCAAAAAAAAATTTACTATATGCTAAATCAAAAATAGAAGAAATTAATAACTGGATAAATAAAACATCAAAATACTGTGATGATAATAAAAATATTAGTTATAATAGTAATGAGATTGAAAAAAAATTAATTGATTTAAAAAGTATTGATAAAGAAGCAGAAACAAATCGAACATTTTTAACTGATTCATTGAAAGTTAAACTAAATGCGATAGAACTTGAATCAGAACCTATTGAGTTCAATGATTTAGAAGATAATTTATACAAGCCTACAGTTCAAAAATTGAACGAATTAAAAACTAGTAATTAATAATATTTTGAAATAATTATTTTAAAATTAGTATTTTTATTACAATAAATGTGTAAAAAATTCAATTTTTTTTTTCAGAAATAAATGAAAATCTGTCAAAACTTAAAAGTATGCATGAAGTTTCTCAAAAGTTTGAAAATACTCTAAATCAGTGTAACTTATGGTTAGATCGTAGCGAAAAAGATCTCTTGCCAGATAAATATCAACTCGAACCACTTGAGTTAATTGTAGCTGAGAAAAATTTTGAGCAAATTTCGGTAAAGTATTTAATATTAAATAAACTTATTTGTTCAACGTATTTATTAAATTATTTATTTTCATTAGAATTTAAAAACAGACATTCAGAGTTTCAAAGACTTGAAATTGGCAGATTTGGAAAAAAATGGTGAAGTGGTATCTTCATTTTGTGATGAAAAAAATGTTTCCGCAATAAAATCAATCCTCAATGGTAAATAAATTAAAACGATTACCTATTTTCCTATTAAGTGGATAGTTTTAATAACCTTTTAATTTAATGTTACGTTTTAAGATATTCTGAATAAAACTAAAAAAATAGAAAATATGAGTAATTTTGCTGAGGAAAAAACAAAACTCGTTTTGGAAAATAGGAAATTGTTTGAAAATGATATTAATTTGTGTCAACAATGGTTTAGCGAAGTAGAAGTTATTATGTCTGCTGATGTTCGTTTATCTACTTTAAATATTATAGAAGATCAACTTCAAAAGGTAAATTCAAAAATTATTATAATTTATCTGTAGACAAATAACATTAATTATTAACATTAATCCAATAGAAAAAAAAGTTAATTAATTAATTATCAATTAAAACTAATCAATTATTTCAATTATATTTGAATTCTAGTATGCTGCGCTTAATATTCGTAGTAAAGAAATTGATAATATTATTGAACAACTAAAAACAATTGGTGAACAAATGCTCCTTTGCGAATCAGATGCGTTAAAAATGAGTGATCAAATTTTATCGTTGGAAAATCGTCAAAAAAGAACAAAAGCTTTGATAAAAGATAGAATTGAAATGCTTGGACAACATTTAGAAAAAATGAAAAATATTTCGAAAAAAATTGAAGAAAGTAAGATAATGATTTCAAAAGTTCATTCAAACTTACAAGAGTTAAATCGCCCAGTAGGAAGCACTGTGGATGATGTTAAAGATATGATAATGTCTTATGAAGTAAGTTAAAAAAGTGTATAAAATTATACATTTATTTATGAAATATCTTGTTTTCAGACACTGCTAAAAGAACTTAAAGATTGGAATGAAAAATTAGGCGATAATGATACTGAATCACTAAATGAAGTCATTAAACAACAAGAAGAACTGATAAGCACAATTGAAAAACAATTGTCAAAACTCAGGCAATTATTACACCTTCATGAACAGTTTATGGCGTTAATCGCTGATATTGTCACATTCCTGACAAAATATCAAAGTGTTTTCAATGAAATTGGAATATCTGGAAATAGTATTCAAAACAAAATTAAGCAATATGATGAGGTATTATATTTTTTTTTATGTGCTTACCATATATTTTATTGACACAATTTTAAAATCTATGTTAAAGGTCACAGTTAAAATTCAAGAATGTGAGGCAACTCTTTTACTAGCAACAGACAAAGGAGAAAGAATCGCCGAAGAAGGTTCCGCATTTGATCGCAACAACATTACTCAACAATTGCAGTCACTTAAACAACAGTTGACTAATTTAAAAAAATCTGTGGAAAAAGAAAGACAAAAATTGGAAGCTACTGCAGCAGAACACAGTAAATTAGCTGCTGATTTAGAAGAAGTTCTGGATTGGATTCGTGAAAACGAAGCTCTCATTAAATCCAGGCCATTACTTGAAATAAACATAAATAGTGTTGAAATCGATTTGAAATCACATGAGGTAATATTAACTTAATCTATGAATCAATTGTTTATGAGAATGAAAAGTTAAAAAAATTAAATATTTGTTCGTATGTAACAAAGATGTAGTGTTAGAAAATTAAATATAAAGTTATGTACCAACTAGTTTTAATAATTGAATAATAATTATTCAATAAGATGAATAACAACATATTTAATACTATTTTTATTTAAAAATAAGTCTTTATTTAATATTTTATTTTTTATTTATGTAACTTAATACACAATTTTTTTATATGCCTTGCATTTTGATTTGTTGTTAAATTTACAAAAACGTATAAAAATACATTTTAATAAATACAAATTACCACAATTTAAATATTGTATTTGAGATAATAGATCCATTTATATTTCTCATAGTATAATAATCATCATAAAAATAATAAATTATTTACACTTTGAAATTAAAAGATACCTTCGACAACATTAAACTTTTATACCTGTATTATTTACATTTATAACATATTGATTAACATACCTAATTATTCATAAAAATCAAAACAAAAATATATGATAACCATTTTAACACATTTAAAACGCTTATTGTTTTAATTAGGAATTAAAAATAAAAGTGGACGAACAACTGTCTCGTTTGAAAAATCTACATTCAACAGCTCAGAACGAAAATATTGAAGACAGTACAATAATTGAATGTCTGAGTGAAGCTAGTTCATTTTTGAATACTATTCCAAAAGAACTACAAGACAGACAAACATATTTAAAAATGAACAAGGAGTATCGAATAGAATATGAACAATTAAAAGAACAATTTTATTTATGGATTAACGATGCAAAACTAAAACTGAAATCCGCCGAAGAAAACAAAAATGATTACAAAAATATAGTATCAAACTTAGATTATTTAAAAGTACGCATGGTATTTAGTGTATATATTATATATATTGATAATAAAATAATATAGTAATATAAATAATAAATGTAAATATAATAATGATTATAATCAATAAATAATTATTAACTGTTTTCAGGCATTAATTAGTGATCAAACTATAGATGATTTAGTTTCAAAACAAATTAAACGCACTATAGACAATATTCGACCATCTTTAACATCTCAGCAAAACGACATTCTGACTTCAGAATTACAACGTTTCAATAAAGACATTGACGATGTACGTAACTCCGCGAAAACCATTCAGAAATTGTTGGAAGAAGAATCTAATCTTTTAAAAGAGTATAGAAGTGTATTTGATAAAGTATCTACAATTTTGAGCCATTGTAAATATAACGAAAACCCTATTCAAAATATTGCTGAATTGTACTTCAATGTAGAAAAAATCACACTCGTACAAAACGATTTACTCGTAAGCAATATAAATTATCCTTTTTTTTTTTGTGTGTGTGTAATTTAGCAATCTATTTCCAGCGTCAACGGAATGAGTTGGACTCATTAATAGATAAATCAAAACAGGTTGCTGACAAGATCGTAATGAGCGATGAAATTCAATCTGAAACCGATTCGCTAGTGAAACAATGGACGGAACTAGAAAGGGAAATGTCGTCTCGAATAATGTTAATCACAGATGTGGGGGAAAAATGGAAGAGTGTTGAAGAGAATTATAGAAAAGTTGCAATTGAGTCAACCCGAATAAACGATGCCTTAAGTAACATCGATCAAGTTATCAGAACGAAAAATCAATTAGTGGAGTCGTTAGCTGCACTTTATGTAAGTGTAATTCTTGTGCATTTTTACGACATATCGTTAACGTGAATTATCTATTTTTAATTTATTTAATTAATTAGAAACTCAAAGAAAATGTTGAGCTTTGTGGCAATCAACTAATCGATACCAAATCAATTTGTGAGAATGTCGTAAAGTTTTTGGACTTCGAATCACATCCTGCATTTACTACTTTACAGGAAGACATAATATCACGTGAAAATAAACACACTGAGTAAGTTATATTATTATCATATTATCATAATATTATGTAGGTAAGATACAGGGACGGGGGACTAACATAGGAGAATATTGTTCTTTTAATTCTTTTAAAATTAAAATCTTGGTCAATTAAACTATTGGTTTCGAAGTATGATTTTGAGGATGGGTGGATCAGCTTATATATCAAAAAATGGTTTAAACTTATCAATGAACGATTTAAATCTAACGATTAATACTTTTAGACAACAAAATAAATAATATTATTTAATCGAAGTTCGTAAAACTGTTTAAAAACTTCTCTGAATTTCGTTTAAGTATTCGATTTCGATTATGATTAATTTTTTTATATACCTTACAAAAATTATTTTATCGAAATTTACAAAATATACTTAAGAAAACATGATTATGCCATATATTTTGACTCTGGTCAACATTGATATGAACACTCAGTGAAAACTTCAAAATTTCATATTTTATGTTTTTTGACTTTTGAGCTATGACAAAAAAATTTGACTGTGTCAAAAACTGGTATCCCGCATATTTTAGCGTTTTTTATTTTTATGATTTTTCAACACTTTTTCCAAATTGTTTTAAAAATCATAGAGAAATTCAAAATATGACTTGAATAAAACCAACTTATCCTAATTTGCTATAAAAAAAAAAAAAAAAAATTATCATCGAAGCAATCATTCTGATTAAAGTAAGGAAGTTATTTTAAACTAACGTTAAATAATTGAGTTACAAATTTTTTATACTACATTTTAATTATATAACAATTTTGAATAATTCTACTATTATTTGAATTAAATTACTCGTTTTTTTAAAAGTATTATTTATTTTATACTAAGGCAAAGTAAATTGCCAATTATTTATTACTACTTATTGACATTTCTTTGGCACATGTAACATAATCGTTATGAATTAATTTTCTATATGAATATCTTTTTGTAAACATTTGATATCTTATAAAAAATTATAAATATTTCGTTCTTACATAAATTTCAATAAAAATAAAATTGCAAAATATCATTTTTGACTTCGATTTTATACTTAATTATAACTCAAATCTTATTAGTAAAAAATGTTTATGTAATATACATAATAACTAAAGCAAAATAACCAAATCTTGAGTTTAATATATTTTTGAATAATATGGGCGGTTTTTCTATAGTTATATTTTAATTCTATTGTATTATACTTAAATAGTTTGGTATGGCGTTATTCGATATTGTATGCATTTTAGTTATAAATCTAATTGGATATTTATTATTATAAATTAAATATTTTTTAATTTATATCTAGGTACCATAAAATATAAAAATAACTTTAAATTAAGTATATGAAGCTAGCCAATCTTTGGTGAACAATAATAATTCTTGCTGGCCAAAAAATGTATGAGGCATTATATCATAGTCCTAAAGTTATTAATATCTAAAAACTATCAAAAATATATAATAGATATATTTATTTTAAATATTTAAATATAAAAATATATCTTAAAATGTCTTATCATATTTCATTCTAATTTGATAAATTGATTCATTTTTACCTATATTATTTTTAAAAATGTACATATATACTTAAATAAAATAAAAACAAGTTTGTTGCGTACCCTTAAATCTAGATATAAATAAACTAAAATAGCTATTTTAATTACGTTTTTAATATAATGAAAAAAAAAATTGCTCCCATTCTATGGTTGTAACATGGGTATATTTTTATGTTGCGCATTCTGTATTAATTATTATTACTATGCATAGCTATTGAGCCAATGACTCACCCACTATGTTTTTTTTTATATTTAACACTTTGACACGATGCCAATTTATGAATATATGAAAGTACCCAATTGCATATGCCGTGTATATGGGCATATGCCTTAAAAGAGTATGACTTTTTAATTATTTCAAAATAATACACCCGTAAAATACATTGAAAATGAATGAAAAAGTAAATATATAAATTAAAGTTTTTATATATTTTAATATATTACCATTTATGTTCATTTTAAATTAGAATCATTAAGAAATGTAATACAAATATAAATGTTATTAATTTTTATGAATCGTAAAAGATAATTTTAATCTTTAACCGTACATAAATAAAATAATTAATAATTGATTATTAAGTATAGAATAATGACAAATTCAATAATAGTGACAAAATGCATTAAAATTGAGGAATCATGAGATTAAAAAAAATATACTTTTATAAAATGTCTATACTTAGGTCTTATAACTCATAAGATATTAAATCAATTATATTTAGACCTCAATAAAATCATTTGTTAAGAGGATTATGATAAATTATTTTTAATTTCTTATGAAAATCAGTTGTAAACCAAATGTCGTAAACTAGACGTCGTCATACTGTCGAGTTTTTTAATGCAGAATTCCACTCAAAACATTTGACTAAAATAAAACATTTGCATAGTTACAATTTACTCCTAAATAATTGGTGCTTGTCCAAAACTTATATGTATAAATATAGCATTGGAATATGTAACCAGATTTACAATAAAAAAAACTGTTAGCATTTTTTAATATATGTCTACAGTGTAGTGGCAAAAAGTTTGTGATTTTAATCCAGTATTCCAGTGCATTTTAAACATTTGTGTTTTAGACTATCGTCAAAGTTGAATAACGTACTTAGCCAATTTGAAATCAATTTGAAAGGTTTCAACGATGTTGAAGCTAAACTTGACAAGTTAGAGTCATCTTTGAATAATTTGAAACCTGAAGTAGAGAGTTTTTACGTATTTGCTCAAGACACGGAACAAACCCAGAAAGAACTTAATGTAAGTCCACTCAAGTAAAATTTTCCATTTATTTATGAATATAATGCTAATATATTTTAATAACATTAGTTTTAGTAATTTTAGATATACTATTCTTACTATTTACTACTTAATTTATTCATTTTTTTAATTTTATCCTCATGAACTGTACTATATACATATATGTATATATATATATATGTTACGGGCAAAGTATATAATTTGGGCATTTTATACAATGCCCTTCGTATATCGGGCATTATAGATAATGGATGATATGATTTAATGAAATGTGATAAATCGTAAAACATAGTTAAAATAAAGTCTAATTATTATCTGTAACGTATCATAGTTAATTTGTTCTTATCGTATTTTTACAATGGAGATGTCCACTTGTCTACATATCATACGCGTGTACGTGACATAATATATTATTACTATATTTACTGATTTATAAGTTATATTATATGTAGTTGTAGTGCTTATCGTGCAGTCGGCCTTTTACCTATTCTCAAAAATGAACTATTTAGTAACCGCGAATCGTTTGTATGGTGCAAATTAATTAATTCAGTGCGTACCTATATAAAAATATCGCCAGGGATATGATTATGCTATACTTAAATAATTGCGAATCGTGTAAAAAAAAAGGAAGCACAGCCAAGAAAGGATTGGTGGCGCAACCAATTATATCTAATTTAAATACATGTCATATTCATATTCATTAATTTATCATATTTCATTAAATCATATCATTTGTTATCTATATTGACCAATATACGAAGGGCATTTTATATACTGTCGGGACAATATATAAAATGCCCAAATTGTATAATTTGCCTGTAATAAATATATATATAATTTACTTTTTATTTAAAATTAATATTATTATAAATAATAATGAATTAAATGTCTTTTAAATTTAATGTGGCTTACTAAATCAATTAAATTATTAAAAGTATTTTTAAAGGTGAAAATTATAACATGTAATTTAAGATACAACTATTAATTTTTTTTCAAGGAATTATCAGAAAAAGTTATAGAAGCTGCTAGTAATTTGAAAAAATTCATCGAATGCACACAAAACACATATATTACATCACAAAAACTAGTACCAAACGATTTATTGAGCAAGGTTGGTATGAAATATTCATTAATATATTAATTCTTTGAGTAAACAACATTATATTTCCATAACAAATGTATGACTGTTTAAAACATAGTTTTGCATTTTATTTTGTATATTAAATAAATCCACTCTGACAACTACCATGCATATTATTATTCGTCTTTATTAACTTAAATATATTTATTAATACAGTATATTGGGACAAATAACATATTTATTTAAACATATTTCTATCTTATCCAAGGTTCGTCTTACGCAGATTTTGCTTTATTTTTTACTAAATATTAAAACGATTTTACAATTATATAATAAATTTAAATGCATTATTTTGAGATAACTTAAAATTTAAATAGTTTTTGTTTATCTATCTTCACAACAATATTATTTTAAACCAAAATTAAAAAACATATAGTTATTTATTTAATTGAAATAAATATTGCTTGTTATTAGAAGCACATTTAACACTTACGATTTAAATTTTTATAAATGAATTACTTTCAAATTTTAAGTAAGTAGATATTAATAAAGATTTAATTAAATCAATTTGATAAAAATGTATTTACTTTTTACTTTTTTATACTTAATTCGATGTAAAAAGCTAAACTAAAATCGCAATATGATATTACCAGTACATACACAAAAAAAAAACTTGCTACGATATTCGTGGGTACATGGGTACTTCTTTTATGAAATGTATATGGTATCCTTGATATTTTTTATGTCGTGTATTTGTGTTCAGGAAAGCATAAAATTGTATGATAGTCATATGAAATAAAAAAATAATTAAAAAGTTGTTAGATAAAACACGTGTTTTAAATACCCTAAGATGGTTTCTATCGTAGAGGAATCACAAACAATATTATTAACCATAAACATAAAAATAATTTGAAAATACCTCCACAATTATAATCCCCCATGAAATTTACTTTTTAACGGTCAACTTTAACTTTTATTGGTTTTGTTGAAAAAAGATTCTGATTAATTATTTATAATATACTATACAATTGAAGAATAAAACAAATCCATCTCTTAAAATTCGTTGACATATATTAAACGTAAAATGGATACAAATTATTTTAAGTTTATTTTTTACTCCACACATTTCACATTTATGCGTCCATGCTTAGATATTGTGGATATACACGCACTCCTCTGAACATGCTTATTTAAGAACTTAAAATTAATCCAATATAAATTTTACAATATTTTAGTTTGTCAAATTTATCAGATTTCATTCAATATCGGATATTTAAACGAAATAATTGCAATTTGAATATTTATATTAATATTAAATTATGCAAATATCTTGTAGAAACTGGTTTTAAAAACGGCAAGCTATTTGGAAAATACTTTATTAATTATACATACTTCTTTGCACAAAAATGCTTTTCTATTTGTTATCATTTTATAGTCCTCGAATAATATAAAAGATAATTTTTTATTTATCAATTTTCATTGCTCACTGTAAAAATAATTTTTTGGATTTTCTATTTTATTTTATTTTACATTTTATTTGTTAATTTATTTTATTAGTAAATAGTAATATAGTAAGTAATATATATTGAAATATATACAGCAGTATTTCCCAACGTTTTTGATTTCACACTCCCTTGTAGATTTTCAAAAATCTTTACCCCTCCTTCCCAATCAATCACATTTTTATTTTATAAATAATTGCAATTATAAGAATTCAATTGACGCAACATAACGGCCGAAATCAAATCTTATCTATAAACAATTATTTGTAAATAGGTCAACTTTAATAATATCGTTATTAGCGCATGACGCAATGGTCCAAAATAATAAAAACATTTCTTATGTTATTTATTTCAGTCTTATATTTTTCAAATATATTTATTGCTTTTAATTTTACTGATTGTAAATTTGCACGTTTATAAAATGATAAAACGTTAAATTCTCGTAATTTTATAATTATAATTTTACCCCTCCTTCTCTCTACTCAGTACAGTGCGTGAAGTTCTCCCTGAAAAGGATCCCTTGTTGGAAAACGTTAGAATATAAAAAATAGTGAGTTACTTATATTTAGTTATATTTTTATACATCTTCTTACTTTTAACAATAAAATATATATTATTTTTATATAATAGCTATAAACAGTAAATATTAAGTTGATATAGATTTCGAGCAATAGATATTAGTTGACGTTTAATTGGTATTTATGACTAATGGATGTTTAATTTTCTTCCATCGTTTAAATAACAAAAATATATATTTCGTTTTCATATACAATTTTTATCAATGTATAATTATGACAACGGTCTTATTAAAATTAAATATTGACTTCGATAAAGATCTATTGTGAAATTATATGTATTATTCCATACTCAGACGAATTTATTTTTATGAAATAAATATATAATAAATTAAATATATTATTATGATTTCATATTGATTTTGTATTTTTAAGGTATTTGTGTTATATAACATAAATAGAATATATTCGTAATTTGGAATAAATGTATCTTTACATATTCTTACAAAAAGTCATTCTTAAACAACAACTGATAATATTCAAATTTTTCTGATAAATATGTACGTTTGAGTTGTATATAGAATGGTATAAATTATCAACAAATATCATTATTGTGTTTGATAGCGTGTAAAGTATAAAGTATTTTTTTCTTACACCACGCTGGCTAATCTTGTACGTTTGATCACGTCCCACTATTGATATATTGTAAGCAAATTGTTTTCAAATTTGGTCGTGAATTCATTGTATTAGTAATCAGGTGTCTATCGGCATTCTTAGTTCGCTACTAGTTCGCTCCAGGTCATTTCTTTTTATTTATTTAGTTTTTTAGTCCAAATTAATTAAGTTGGAATTTTTTTCTTGATTGTTCGTTGTGTTTAAGAACGATTCATTTCCAAGGTCTCTCAATTCGGTGATGAATAAGGTACTGTACATTATTATATAGATGTCGTAGCGAGACAAATGACCACGCCTACCTGTAAAATTACGTTTTTCGTCTGGGCGTCTAAACTATTATTTTTTGTTTCGTTCCGTAACTCTAAATGATGCACTTCTGAGCATTAGCTTGTTCGTATTGTCTTGTTTATCACCGACAAATTTTAATAATTCAAATTTTTCAACTGTCGGTTAAATTTGGTCATGTGAATTGTCCTAAAAATTATTTTGAATAAAATCTCTATTATAACTCATTCATATTGCATAGGAATATTGACTGAAGTAACTGTGAGTAAAAACGAGAAATTTTAAACTAGTGCGCGTATATTATACATATGTGTGTATAATTTGAATGATTTTTATATGAGTTCATCGCGTAAAAGAGCGTCTTTCTATAATAATTTACTGCCTTATGTGACCATGCCTTCTCCTGACTGACCTTCAATAATATTTCGTCAATTGAAAAAGTATTTGTAATTCTTTTTGTACATTTTCTGATTACAGTAAATCCATGAACACTATAATATATTTATGAACAATTAACTGTTTTTGATTAGTAAATAAATGCCTTCGATTTTGTTATATTTTTATACAAGTATACATTATATTTCAATTGAAATGTCGTGGGAATATTTTTAAATCAATTAAATTGTTCAGTTTTTTTTTATTCTTCAATTTATTTTAATATTTTCCCAAACACTTTTTTTCTTTTACGTTTGCTGAAACCAAAAAATATCATTATTAAAGTTTATAGAAATTGCTCTAAAATAATAATATCAGTATCGATTTAGTTATGTTTTAGAATAGTATGAATATATTAATGTGTTCTTATCTTACAATTACTTAAATTTTTTCAAAAAATGTTTGTATATTTATACATTTATTTATTTATACATTTTTTTTTGCATACAGTTTATCAAAAATATCATTTAAAATAAATAAAAATATTTTATTTAATATAAAAAAATAAGTCATTAAATGTTATTATACTTTTAATACTAATAAATTAACTAATATACACATTATTTAGTAATATTTAATTATTTTCTTTTGGGAATATTATAAATTATATGAATAATAAGTTACGAATATAAATATTTTATTAGAAAGCAAAAAAAAATTAGAACTACATCATTCCAAATCAATCCAAAATTGATTTCTGATAAAAATCAAAATATTTTAATAACCTTGTTCACACAGTAGAAATCAAATTAATTAATCCTGAAATATTTTCGAAAAAATTCAAAAATTATTTATAATTAAATACAATACTTTCCTATTTTTCTAAAAGTAATAGATAAAATAGTACTTACACAGTATAAGATAAAATTGGGCGAATTTTCTTATAATTTTGATTGTTCCGTCAATGAAATTATATAACCGGTGGAGGTCAAACATTAAAAATATCATAGGTTGGTCCGTTTGTTATACGGACCGTCAAATATGTTTGTATATTACTGAAGACTTATAAATAAAACGTCCTTTACTGTTGTTGGGATGACTAATATTCATGTGCATAAACCTGTTTTATTCAGTATCCATGCGCAACTAAAAATTATATTCTGTCGCTAGTAGTGCGGTAAAACGTTTGTTCTGTAGTACCGATTTATCCTTCGAGCGTATTCTGTGCCATTCGATCGCATTGAATAAAATGTTATACAATAACCGTTTGTTTGAGATTTATGTTATTTTATAGCGAATAGTTTCAAATATGTTTGTTACTTAAGTATGCAATTTTAATGTGTCAAAAATAAAATAATTTAGACACATCATACATATTATTTATGGTGATTTTAAGTTTTAACTATAATAACTGAAATAATAACTTTTTTTAACCGGTGTTGTATGTTTAGTTCAATCCGTTGGAACTTATTGCTGAGGAATTGACGAGCCTCATGGATTCAAACAGTAGGGGCCTTAAACGGGCCAAGACTGTTCGTACGGAATATTTAAAAGATGTAGACGATGTGCAAAGATGGCTTCAAGAAGCTGAAGTGAAGGTTCAAGATCGTAGTAGTGAACCAAAAGAGATCAAAAAGCATATCCAGGTACGACCCAAATAATTATTGTTTTCCTGCACTCTATAATTTTAAAACATTTGTTTTCGTATAATCGTATTGCATTATAAATTTTTATATTTATTTGAAATTGTGTAAATAGTATTAATATTAAGAATTCTTACATTTTCGTAAATCAATTCAGACTATGATCAAACATAATATATTTACATTTTCAATACAAATATTTTAAAACATAATTCAAAATGTTTTAATAAACAATGTATTGATCCATGTGTACACCAAGTTAAATTTCAATCAATATTGAACTAATAATTGATAAAATAAAACCAACAAAACACTTGTTGATTATATTTGTTAATGAGTAGTTTAAATACTTTAAACTAAATTGGAATTATCTGTATTATTTACATATAAGTAATAAAAATGTTTTTAATATTAATTAACATGATAAAAAAATATTAGCTGATCAAAGTTATGCGCCTAAATAGTTGATCCGAGTTGTTCGTCTTAAAATAATTCTTAAAATAATATCATTAGAAAAACAAATCAATTGGGTGCTATTAATAATCGCTATTATTTACTATATTTGGATCACAGAAATAGCAAATTGAATTAAAAAAACAAAAATAATATCAGGAGAATACTGATGCTTAAATATACCTACTATTAAAGTATTACGCTTAGTGATTATTTACAGTGTACAACTTTTAAATTATTTTTAATAACTCGGCATTTTAAAAAATATTTTTTTATTTTATCTATTACAAACAAATAATTTCTGAATATTTTATTACTTTTGGAATAATATAGTGTTTTAATAGTTTTTTTTTTTTTTACGACGAAAAAATCAGTAAAATTTATATTCAATCTGTCATTAATTTATATCAAAAAAATATCACTTAAGTCTTAAATTATTTATAGGACCAGCATTGTATTAATTTATAGAGATAGAATAAAAATATATTATAATTAGAGTTATTCCGTTTATTGTTTTACGAAGACTCATACAAACAGTAATTTACCAATATAAACATAAATAGTAAATTTATATTCGTATATAAAATATATCTTACGTCAAGTTAAAAATTTAATTAATGATTATTTATTGTCAAAATATTTAATATTTTGAAATTAATTTGATATGTTAGATTGTTTATTAACAAATGATCAATATTTTTTAACACCTGAAAGGCATTAAAAGAAAATGTATTATTAATGAGACATAGAATTATACGTCCAAATAATTACTTGCATATATAATATTTTCATGTCAATAGTAAATTACAATTCAGTTTGCATTCCTGGATGTTGTGAGCTGGATCCCAGCACTTTATAACTAAAATTAATTATGTATTGTATTGTTTAGAATTTTTTACTGGCCATAAATGATCATAAATTGTTGTAATTTTATGTTATATATATATTTATAATATTTAAATAACATACCATTTGAATTATTATAATAACTTATATATAAATAAAAAATAAAAAAATTGCAAAGTTAAAATTATGTAGTATTAAATTAATCCATAAACAATTCTGCAGAATAATAATTGTCAACTAAGTTTTATCTATTCCTCTGCATAGGCGCCATTATTACAACTATGAGGTCAGTACACGGTATTTGAATTCTATAATAAGTGATAAACACATAATATATAATGATAAACATTTAATATATATTATACTATAATTGTATGTATACGATATATAAAATGATATGAATACAAATTCAATTTTGCAAACGCTAAGTAATTATAATGATAATGTAATCGACAAAGGTACCCAAAAATTCAAAGGACGTCAATTATTGTTTAAAAAATAATTTTAATTCAAATAAGGTTTAAAATGAATTACATTTATTTTCATCATTCTTAGTTTAAATCTAAGAAATGCATTGCCAGGGGTGCAATTTCAATGAAAAAACTGAGGATGCTGAAGCCCTTCTATCTTTTTCATGTTCCTTAATGGTTATAAATACCCGCAACCCATACAATTCAACAGTTACTAAAATATTTGGTAAATATTTGAATATTTCTAAATTTAAATTTTTCGATTTGATTTTATATTTTTATTACGTATATAAATAACAAATTACCCGTCTGTAAAAACAAATGTTTCATCACATGATCATTTTTATATTTTAAGTGAAGGGAAGAATATTATGGTTTTGTAATGATGTTTGTATTTTATTTTTTTTAAAACTTTTTCGCATATAAATACTGGTCCAAAAGTTTTTTCTGGGAACTTTTTAGATTTTAAATTGGTATGCGGTGGTACATTAGATTGGTCATTTTTTTAAATCTTAAGAGTTTTTCCAGATGTGAGGAAAAAACTGTCCTGAAACGGTAAAAATACGCTGTAAATAAGACTTTCACTTTTCAGATTTAAGTAATTTAGTCATAACTCCAAAAGTAATATGGCTAGAAACTTGAAACTTTTACTCTGTAGCGAAGATATTTTTTTTTCGTAATTGATAAAAGTTTCAAATAGCGATTTTCATTTAAATATAGAACTTTAAAAATATCAACTTTTTTTGAAAATCTTAATGTAATAAAATTTTTATTTTTGGATATTAAGTAAAAATTTAATACCACCTTATTCATATAAGAGTATTTATTTACCAATAATGAAATTTTTAAAAAAATTATTAGTCTTAAATTTATTTTATATGCTTTTAAGTAAATTTTTATACCTACAATTTTTACGGATTTTACTGTTTTTACATCAATTTTCAACATTAAATGTTTATTAAAAAAATTATGTTAATTTTTATACTGAACCTTTGATCAGAACTGTTTTGAGATAAAGAAATGAATTATCACTTCTTTAAAACTCAGTATATTTACTTCTAGGCTAACCACTCGTCCTGGTGTCCCGGCCGATCATTCATTTATCCCGGTTAATAGAAGCCGAGAGAAAATAACATTTTATATTATATTATTTAATAATAAAACATAGAATGATATTGTAAATTATATTATTATATTATGTTAATCTAATCGGTATGGTTACATACAATAATAATGTATTTTTGTATTAGCCAATAAATATTTAAATTACAAAATATTATACTTATTTTGAGTTCATATTAAAATAAAAAAAAGAGTCTTTTATTATGATGGCTTAAGTTTAGGGATTTCAAAATCTGGTAACCCTACCTATTACTATTATCCAATTCAAGGACCGAAAAGACGAAGGATGAACTTACACCACCATTATTTAAATAATAAATTTATATAATTATACAAGAAAAACTCTGTTTTTCTTTACATAATGAGTAATGAGTATTTAAATGCAAATTAACATGTACACATTTGAGTATGCTCATTTCAAAAATGGGGGTGCTAAGTATACGTAAGCTCCCTCCCAAATTGCGCCTATATGCACTGAACTACAATCCAATAGCTGTCATAAAACCTCATATTGTATTAGTTTGATTTATTTTTGCCGTAATACTTTTCAAAATATGATAAATAAAACTATACTAAGATTTCAATTACAATATTGGAATATTTATTTTTATTTTTATTTTTAGACTATTGAAGATGAAATTAGTGCAATTAACGAGAAACTAAACAGAGCAATAAAACATGGCAAGGAAATCGTTGAAAAAACGAAAGATGAAGAGGAAAAAGAAATGATTCCAAAAACCATTGAATCGTTGGTGGGAAAAATGAGTCAAGTTAAACTGTGGTTGGACGAAAAACGTAATCAAGTAAGTCATAAATATTAATTCTAAACAAAATATTATAAATATGGGTATTGAATAAGTATACTTAAAAATAGAAAAACCACTGTTCACATATGTGGTGTATTTCGCCACATATAATTCGGTTATTTTATTATTAGCACAGCGTGTTTTCTAAAAATATACATAAAAATAATAAATATAAGTTATAAGGATATATATCGAGCAAAACTAGTAACAACGTTCTCTGGATATTACAGATACTTTTTTTTGATAAGGTTATAAATTTTAAGGAGGATATTTGAATCTTATTCAACTTATTACGTATGAAATATTTATTTGGTTCAATGTGTTTTTGTTTTAAGCTTTGTTGTACAGTATAAAGATTGGACATACATTATATTTAACAAATGTCAATAAAATGATAAAGTGAAAACTGAAATTAACATGAAAGGTGGGGTCCGTATTGGCATTAGATATTGAGCGGCTAAATTGAGTAATGTGTTACTGAACAGTGTCGGCCCTAGGGGGGAGGGGCAAGTGGTGTGATCGCACCGGGCCCCGCACTTGTATGGGGCCCCATAGGGACGTATTTTTGGGAGAAGCTGAGGGGGCTTCAGCCCCCCCCCCCTAAATCCAGGAATTGTTTATTAAGTCTGCTTATTATGTCCTATCAGATATGAATCGTAAAAGTTCAATATAATTTTATAAAGAATTATTAGTAACAACGAACAAGTTATTCATGTAAAGTGTCTGACGATTTCTATCGTAACGATTATACCATTGAGTCGGTACATTGTGCTTAATTTTGACGTACGGTACAGCTACATTAACGTAATTTCGATTTCTTTTACCTAGAATTGATTTATTGATATACACGCGTTGGCGCGTCTCAATCACCGTACAATATTTATACGAGCCTGTATGAGCTAAAATATTTCCGAGAAGTGACGGTGACGACCGATAACACTATCACAGTGATCGGTTTTCGTCATAGTTGTTACTTGTTTTCGCTATTATAGATAAATGTTGTATATCAGGGGTGGCCAAACGGTCGATCGCGGACGATTTCAGAGTCCATCATGTAAGAATTTATTTTTAGGCCACGTACACGAAAATTAATCGTGGTGATTATGAACAAATTGTCGATAAGTTTTATCTGTATAGTTTTTATCTTTTATTCTGGTTTATAAAAAAATTTTCCAAGAAAGTCGATCTTCAAAGGTGAAGTATATTTTTAGTAGATCGTGGTCGAAAAAAATTTGACCACCTCTGTTGTATACTAATTTTCCAACTTTTGTTTTTAATAGACTGAATTAGCGAATTTGAGTTGGAGAAAATACCACAGTACCCCCTCCTCTCTCCCAAAAAAAAATATCTAAATACACCCCTGGGGCCCCACAAATTATGTATCACGATTATCACTTTATCTGTAAATAAAAATAATATAGTCTCAGTACGCAAATCGCAACCCGCGTGGTCATGTGATCTTTTCAGTAAACGGGTTGTTATCGATGAAAATTAAGATGATACCAATTACGCATAGGTTTGAAGTATTGTACGCGCATGCACTTGCAAGGGCGTATTTAGAGGGGGTTGATATGAGTGTTAGAACACCCCCCATCGACCTTATTTTATGGTGTTTCACCAAATTGTAAACTTACTTTGATAATTTGAATAATGTATACAACTTGTAGGTTTTACATATGCTATCTTAATGTAATCATTTTCATTTATATAAATACATGGAATTTATTTATGTAATACGGGGGATGGGACAGAGGCTCTATTTACCATAAGTCTATTAAATTTTAAAACACTCCCGTTAAATGAATCCTGGATACGCCACTGTGCACTTGTAAAGTTGTTTATCGTCGACGACAGTTCGAAATAAAGTTATAGTATATATTTGGTTATATAATAATATGAAAAAACATTTCTATAAACAATTAATAAATTAATAAATTAATATATTTGTATGGGGCCCCGCAAAATTCTGCGCCTGGCCTCGAAAACCGTCGGGCCAGCGCTGTTACTGAATAAGAAAGTAACAACATAGTAATGGAACGAGAGGACGTTGGGGGTTACGTTGAACTATAAAATTTAAATCTATAATATTATGAATTATAATTTAATTTATGAAGTAAATAATTATATTTTTATTTATAATAACAAAGTAATCATCCCAAATCAATAAAATAATAAATCACGTTACAATATTATTGAACCATGTGTTCGGTAGATTACAGTTTCTCTGATACATACATATCTAGTACAGTATGATTACGTAAGATAAAATGTTCGTTGTGAAAAGTGTGCACTATTCTAATAATTATTTAGAAATTTTAAATTTTAAGCTGCTGTAATCTATGAAATTGAATTTTTTTAGATTGGTGATACGTTAGACGCATGGCAGAAATTTTTATCCATTTATGACGTGGTAATGGCATGGTGTCAAAACAAAACAAAATATTTAGACGAACCAATAACACTAAGTTCATTAGAAGTTGTTAAACAAAAAGCTCATGAATTTTCGGTACCGTAAAACTTATTTACATAGTTGTATAAAATATATTTTATAAAAAAAAATTAATTATAGGCTGCTGTGAAATCAAGCAAACAACAGAGTAAAAATTTAGCCGAAATGAGCAAAGAATTAGAAATAATTGCTTTATCAACAGATGTTGGACATCTTCCTGAAAAACTTGAAGAGGCTAATAATGCTAAAAACGACATTGAGGGAAAACTTTCTGAAAAGGTAAACAGCTACTTGCATTTTATAATAATTTCTTTATTCATTTTAATAATATAAATTTACAGAATGCATTATTGCATGAAACTTGTGAAGAATGGGAACAATTTGAGAGAAAATTAAAAGATGTAAAATCATTTATTGAAAAATCTCAACTTGCCATTGAATCGGGTGCTAATAAAAAACGGACATTACGAGAACAACATGATTTGAGAGAGAAAATGTTGGCTGACATTACAATACAGAGAAAAAAAATCACACTGTCCACAGAAAAGTTACAGGTTAAACATCACATAATTAGACAAATAATAGTTGATTAGTTATAGTAGAAACAAATTAATATTTTTTAATTGCACTTGGTATACCTCTTAAATTATAACAATCATCGTAATAAATCAAATATTATTCACTCTCAATAGTTGATATTCAATTTAAATTTAGTATAATATAATTTTTTTTTTTTAGTTGTAAATTAATAACAGAATTATACTTTAGGTACTGTAAATAAATGTTATGATTTAAATGTATATTTATAAAATTATAATTTTTAAAAATCGATAGACTATATTTTTTATATTTTTTGGTAAAAATACATCATACATTTACATATTTAATTTATATAGTTAAGCTATATGTAAATAATACATTTCTACACATACAAATCTTAATGATTCAATAATAAAACCGGTCATTACTATTGTCTAATTTTTAATTAAAATAATAAAACGATATAGACATACTTAATTACATTTTTTATAAAATCGTCCTTATTTTCACATAATTTGTTTTTAATATAATGATTTAATTTTGGGTCAGTATATTAATTTTACTAATATTGATATCAATTATTTTTCCATAATATATAAACACATTTATTGGTTGAGATTGATGATTGATATACAACTAAAACTGGATATCGAAGTCCTAGGAGTCAAAGCTTTCAATAAGTATTTAATTACGATATTATTTTTTCAAATATCCGTGTATACTGGTTTAATATTATGCATATGCTTTCGTATTTGATAGAAAATCCGCTAATAGAACTATTTATATTTGTTCACTATGGTACTTACATTTTTGTTTAGTCTATTTTGATTTATAACCTTACGAATGAGAATAAGAAAAAAATACATTTATGTAATATAAATAATAATTATAAAAATAAATAACAATAAAATATATAATTCTGTTATCTCAACTGTTTACATATAACCAGTGATTTTCCTATAGGTGGTACAAATACGCCTTATACAATTTTATTTTGAAAATTCACTGGTATAATGGATATACTCTGAAGACAAGCACTTTGCAAAGAAGTATTAAATGGAATTAGCTTTTCCGGTTTTAATGTTGTTTTCATATTTTAATTGACATTCAGTTTTCCCTCATACGATTTATGTATAACAATAAAATAATAATTAACGGCATAGTACGTATTTACCATGGTATCAATAATTTTAAATTATTTTAATTTCAATTTCTGTAAAAAGTAGAAATATAAGCATTTAAATTTTTTTTTTGTAATTTACAACCCTTATTTACCTCTATTACCATCATCACTGTCGAATAATAAAAATTTCCATATTCAGACCCTTGATAGCGTAATATACTCTCAATAAAATTAATGGGAACATCACTATATAACATGTAGCATAACAACTACAATGTTCATCTAAATTCCTATCGTTTCACAAGAATGTATGAATGGGTTGGATAGGTTTAAAGGAAAAAAATTAAGTTGTGATAATTTTCATTGTACCAAAAGTCACAATATCTTAGAGAAAATTGACTAAAATATTATATTTGTTTTGTCCAAATACCATTTTGTTTACTTGGAACTTATTTTTTTTTTTTTAAATATCACTTTGTTGGTCGTCCGTTCTCATAAAACTTAGAATAGCGTATACGGAACTCATTAACCGGAACGATACTCCAAATTTAAAAACGTTCTACGAAACATGACAGTGATATTTGTGGATCGTATGTTAACATCACTCTGTACGAACGTTTGCCAAATTAATATAAACCAACAATAATTGTTGGTATGCTACGTGTTTGTTTATAGACCTAAGAACAAGATGAAAGATCGTTAAAAGTTTTATATTTATGTCAAAAACTATTAAATATATAAATACATATATCATAGTTATATACCCAAACGTGTAAATTCACAATAATTATTTATTGTCAGAACGGAAAGATTTTTTTTTTTTTATGTTTAACCTATTTAACATATTAAGCTTTAATGACATAAACCATCAAAATGTTATATTTTCATTCGATATTGTACATTTAATTAAGAAATAAAAAATTTCGATAGCTAATTAAGAGTTTAGTTATCGGGTTATTCCTATATATTCTATTCAAAATGTAAACTCTTATTGTATTATTATTATTATTATTATTATTATTATTCTTTGAAAATTCTTATTGCATTTATAAAAAATAGCACATTGTTCTGTATAAATATGGTGATCATAGAATCGTTAAAAATTAATACATGACAAAAAGTATATTGATAAACATAATTTTATAAGAAAAAATGAAGTGTACTGTACCTGTAAGATTTTAATATTTAAAGCTAAGTTTGTTAAAAATAAATTAGTTAAAAAATAAATTAATTAAAGATTAATAATCATAATAAAGTGATTTTAAAAACCCATTATTTGATGATAACAAATCGTGAAAATATAGGAAAAATTAGAATTTTTTTTTATATCTCATTAATTCCGCATTTTCGAAATCCTAAATATGAAATCCGGTAACTATTTTAAATCCCGATTTTTAATCTGAAACTTTGAATGAATATAATTAATATTATTTTATGTAAAACTAATAGTAAAGTTATTATAACTACCAATTGTTTGTAATAGATTAATCAATTGGATATATTTTACAATATTGAATGTATTTAGACCCAACATTAGGATTTTGAAATCCGCGTTTTGTGGTTTGAAATTCGATATCCGATATCCAGAATTTTCGAACTTTTCAGATTTATTTTGCAAAAGGTAGAATTTCTTAGTATAATATATTCACTCACATTAACGGTTTTTTATCTTAAAATTGTTGGAAAAGGTTTATTTTTTTAATTTAATTATCAGCTAATTGATAATTCAAACTATTATTTCAATTATATTACTATATTTTTATTATTTTTGTGTTTTTCTGATAGTAAAGATTGACGTAGATTTTATTAGAACGGTTTCTTATTTTTTTTCATAATATTTTATATGAACATATAAACGGAAAAATAAATACAATTTATTAAATATTTATTTGGATATAATTCTCAATATTTATTTTACATTTTACTTTAAATTTTAGATTCATTTCCGTGCTGGTTTCGGAGGAAATGAAAATATCGATAAATTAGCTAAGGATAGTTTGCATCATCTAGATAACTTATATAAAACGGTAGAAGAACAAGCACATAATTTGGAAGAAAGTCTCTCACAGCTTGACAAATATCAACAAGTATGATAGAGATAATAACAAGTTATAATAAAACTTTATAATAAAATTATTTTAACTTTTTGTATTTCAGGAGATTCAACACCTTCGTCAAAAAGTCATCACTGCTGAACAGCAATTAAGACTGACGCAGAGTCCAACATATTTACCTCATGATAGACAAAAGGCTGTGCATGAACAAGACGTAAGTACTGTTAAATTAATTATAAATTTAGTTAGTAAATTTATTGTTTTAAATGTATTAAAATTATCAGTATGAGGTTCTTTTAAATATTATACTCGTACATATTGAATTATATATTTATGAATTCATAAGGCGGTAGAATATATGTTGAGTATCATTTCAGAATTAAAGTATGAATGCTTATTGTTAAGGAGTTAAAAAAAAACTTAATGCAATACGATATATTATTGTGTACATTAACTACTTAGTATATAGTATAAATATAAAACTATAAATTATTAAATTTTACGCGATTAAAATGTGTTGAGGTAATTATATTCTTTATTTATAAGAAATTATGGATGTATAATTTAAATAAATACTCTACTGAATGAAAACCGTTCCATTGATTGGAACATTACAGGCGTTCCAAGAACAAATACGAGTGCTGCAAAGCAAGATTAACTCAAGAACTGAACGAATCAAACTGATCATTCAACGAGGCTCTCCAATATCCGACCCTTTATTAAACTAACTAAAATTTAAATGCATTTATTTATCTTCGTATTCATTCCACAATTTTATTTAAGCTATTAAAAAACAAAAAAAAATTCCAAAGTAAAAATTAGTTTCTAAAGGCATTTATTCGGTCACGCAGGACGTTCGAAACGCACTGGAATCATATCGGCAACGTTTGGATTGTACTGTGAATGCTGTGCGAACGCATATTGAACATTTTATTGGTTCCAATCCTTTGCTGGCATCCACATCATGTACAGATCCCGTTAACAATCTTAAAAACCAGTCAAAAATATCTCAATATAAAACCCCCGGTATAATTTTAAATCCAACCGAAATTAATCGACAGCAAACACAAATTAGATCACGGTCGCCTTCGCCATTTTGGATAAAAGGCGAAACTTCGACCTATTCAGAAGTTGTCAAAACTGGTTTCATATCAAAAAATAATAGTCGAAACTCAAGTCCGGAAATAAAACATATAGAAGATCGCATGAGTAGAAAGTCAAATTTAAATTTACTTCAAAACCCATTAAAAATATCTAGGAGTAAATCATCTAAAGATAAATGGCAACATAATGATTTAGAAAAAAACACAACATTTTCCCCAAAATCTGACTTATTAACGATCACATCTTCAGTAGGATCGTCAGTATCTACTAAGGAATCCAAAGATAATTTGGATATAACATTAGCCGATTCTAAACGGACTAAACGACGGTCTCGATCTAGAAGGAATAAAAATACAAATAAAAATATTGACAATGAATATGTTTCTAATAAAGATGTAATAAAAATAGTTAATAACAAAAGAATCGTAGTTGACCAAAATATGGATAAAGCATTAACAGCAAAACCAGAAATTGTAGTGTCCTATGTAAAAAATAATCAAAGTAGTTTTGAAGATTTTAAATTTCAAACAATTTCAAATTCCATCGTAGAAACCTGTGCTCAAACTGATGAACTAATTGATGCTAATTCAAACTCGAAGTTATTAGCTACTGATTCCATCAATGTTGCAGTACCATCAGATACTGTTAAGAATTTATCAAAATCTCGATCATCATTAGCTAGTTCTGAATATTCAAATAGTTGTTATGATTTAAATGAACAGCTTAAAGGAATATTTGGTTCGGTTGATAAAAAACACTACAGGCACTGTGTCTTTGATCGTCCTCGTTCCAAATCTGACACTCGTGATCTAAATAAACTTACACAAATATTTACCAGTCCAAATAACATTGACCAATATACGTGCCGTTTCGAACGTAGTGCCGAATCGGTAAAAAATAACTCCAATAGGGACTCCACTTCCAGTAGACGTTCTTTTGATAATATTTTATCCCATTTCGAACACAGAAAAATGGAACAGTTAAATGGAACTGACCAAGAACACAACAAAACTGTAAGATTAAATTATGTAAATTTTTGTTTTACTTGTGCAGTTTTACAAATATTTACTAAACCAAATAATATTTGTGTGATCAATTTTATTAAATTTACTGTTTGATTTTTTTGTGTATTACTGTAAAATATTTGTGAATTAATAATATTTACTGAATATATGAGATATTATTAATTTCATATTTGATACATAACTGCATTTTGTAGAAAACTAAAATTATAATCACCTTTATCCAAAAAGGTTAAGTTGTTAACTATAACCTATTGTGGATTTATATTTAGGTAGTGTGTTATAACAACTAATGATAAATCTGAGAAATAATAATTATTTTTTGCTTTTAAAAAATTACATTGGCAATTTCTAATATATTTTCTCCTTTAAAAATATTATTTTAGACCATAAAATCACATTTGCAAGCATTAAGCGACGAGAGTATACCATTAGAATTAGCAATGAAACCATTTTTGACATTTGATGAAGGGCGTGCTGCAGTACATGAACTAACTTCAACGCAAACAATGATTACCTCGTTAATTAAAAACAACAGTAGTAGTGAATCACAAACTGAGGCAATAAAAGAACTAACAACTTATATAAAAAAATATGAAGACATTTTAGTGAAATTGAAAAATACTGAAGATAACTTCGTAAGTTTATGAACAATAATTAATTAATATTGTATTTATACACCTATTATAATTGAATATGACTTAAAGTATTTTTATTTATTAATTTATAATTTTTATAGGAAAAGTTACATGATTTAAGCAGCTATATTGACAAATTGAAAGAAATTATATTTAGATACAAAATGTATGAAGAAAAAGAAGAATGTCAAGCATTGATCAAACGTCTTATAACTATCATTGGAGAACTTGAGAATATAGATAAAGAAATTAAAAATCAAACAGCATCTGAGGTATGTCGAAATTGCTTGTACTAATGAAAAATTATGTACTAATTAGAGTGTTTTTCAAATAAGATCTATATATCATCGTTTAATTATCTTTTACATTGATTGCAAAACTACACTCAAAATTTCGATATAGTTGCCTATTTGAGATACTTATTTAAATTTATTTTTAAGAATAAATTATTATTACGCAATATTCTTGAAAAAAAAATATATCCTATACTAATTTTATAATTTATGATTATTCTCAGTTCTAACTTTTTAACTATAGATTTCTAACTCTATACATGGGTATATTTTAACTTGTATTATTAACAAAATTATATTATGAAACTTTTGATGAATAAAAATCGAATATTAAACTAGTTCACCGTTACTTAAAAATATTCAAAATTAGATAATTAGAGTGATTTTTATAATATAAATTACATGATGATAATTATTGATGAACGTTTCAACTCTATTTAAATTCTTAATTTATAATTAACAATTTATTCCATATTGGATTTTTTACATTAAAGCTTTTTAAAATAATATTGATTTGGAATAATTTTCACGTAAAATAAATTACTATTAATCTAATACAAACAATAATTTGTTTGAGATTATGTTTAACAATAACGACTTCTCTGTTTAATTTGAATTTGAATTTTTTTTTTTCCAAAATCATAAATTATAAGAGAAAAGAAATTAAAATATAATTACCAATAATGTTTACAATATTAGAGTATATCTAAAGTTCAAATTCTCAAAATTGGGTGACATTGCCATAGTTATCCTTATTTTTCAGTGACAATTGAATTTTTAAATATATTTGTATATAAATTCATTTATATAATTATTCTTTTCAGAAAACATTAAAAGATATTGATGACCTTATACATTGTTATGAAGATTGGTTATTGACTACAGAATATAATAATCCAAAAGATATGGTAGACATAATTTTATAATTTCATTTATTATACTTTTATTTTTATTTTATTAACAATATTGAAAATATTTAGAACAACATAGAAGACAAGATTAACGAGTTAACAAATAAATTACATGAACTCCAAAAGTTTCCAGAAAATGTTGAAAACGAACAACGTATTTTAAAAATCATACATGTAATTGAAAAACTTGAAATACTTAAAGAAAACATAACAAAAGCAAAATTTGAGGTTAGTTTGCATGTTAAATTAATACATTACATTTTAAAAGTCAGTTTACATGAGTAGAACCGCTTTAAATAAATGTATTGTAGAATTTGTACAAAACCGTAAACTTTGATAATTATTTAAAAATTAATTAATTAAAATTTAGTCTAATTTTTACCGGACATTGTTGAATGTTAAAATGCACGTGTTTTCTTTATTTTATAAATAATTTATTTAATATAGAATTCAAAATTATCCTCATTACAAGAAAATTTTAAAATAACATTTTTACAAAAAACAACTTATGAAAAAATGTATTCAAATACCAAATTATAAATTTAATATAAGAAAATTTATTTTAAATATCATAGCATCTATATTACAATAATTATTAAAACATTTTGTTTATGTACTATAACTATTTAGTATTCTTATGATAAATTATAAATTAAAAAACACAATGTAATTGCATTAATTTAATTTAATTATATAACATCTGTAATTTAGACTATAGGGCATTTATCTTAAATAAATAGAGAAAAATTAATATGTAAAAACAAATGAGTACCTTAAAATAGGTTTTTAATAACAAATTTAATTTAAAAAATAAAATAGTATAAAGGACTAAATTTAAAATTAAATTAAATATTTATTTAAAAAACAGTTATAAATATTTTAATTTTTTTAACATACATTTAATATATAAAGTACATTATTTAAATACATCGGTACATTACACTAAAATTTGAAATAAATGTAAAATATATCTATGTAGTTAAAAATACCTTATTTTCAGGACACAAAATACAATGTTGAAAGCACAATAACATCAAATGAGTTATCTTGCATGAATTCACCTAGAGATAAACGTATAACTAGTGTAGAAAGCATGATGTTCCCTAAGATAAATGTACCTTTGAATAGTCCAACAATAGTATCAAAAATACAAGAAAACACTTTCCAAGATCCCATAGATTTACCAAAGAATATTGATAAAAAAAATGAGGGAAGTTTAGGAAACGTTTTATACGATAATGAGGTTCTGAGAAGCCCAAAGTTAGTGAGAAAAATGAATCAAGCTCTAAAAGAAGAAAATATGACTAATGAGAAAATGAAAATGAAGGTAATAAGTGACACAACGGTAGGCTTTTCTGACGAATCAGATATTAAAATAAAACAATCCGGTGAAACTGAGAAATTATCCGACATAAAATTACCAATAGGACAATTTACAGATGATCTGGTTGAAAAAAAACATATCGATACTATAAAAGAGGGATTGCTTAAAGAAGAAAAAAAATCAAAAGGATTTCTCCGTTTCAAAATGCCAAATGTATTTTCAAAAAAAATAAGACAAGGAGAAACTGAAAATATAATAATTCAACAACAAGGACAACAATTAGAAAATGAAATTAATAATGATAATGATAATGTAAAACTTTTAATGTATAAAAGAATGAGTAGTATAAGTAATGATGCCGATAAAAATATACAAAAACTGGAAGAAACTGATAATAATTATGGAATTGATATAAAGGAAGAAGAAAATACGACGACTGTGACCACAATGAATGATAAAATAACAAAAATGATTGAACACAATAAATTAAAGCTTTTTGGTGAAAAAAAAACAGAACCTAATCAAATATTATTCAAACAATTAGAAGAACA